TTCACCCAGGCTTGGTTTTGATTATCACATCAAATCAATAGTCAATGCCTGTGCCCACAAATGAAGCAGAGCTATGAAGTCCTGAATTATTGCTAATTCCTATGGGATGTTGGCCTAATACGAGCCACAGCCTTTGGAAGAAGAAGGGAGAAATCTAGGTGGAAAAAAGCTTTAATTGTATTTGTTTAAGTGGAAAAATGCACAGAAACTTATTTGAAACTGTGTCTGCTTCATCTGTGATTTTTTGATCTTTATTCTCACAGTTCAAGGTGAAACTTGTATTACACGCAGATCTGAGAGGTAACAGATTGTCGAGGGTAGTGCAACATCTGTTTTCTAAGCAACCAGTCAACGGGTTACATTTCAAAAGCTGCTCCTCACTGTCCCATCATGGCTGGGAGTGCAAAATACACGTTTGCTTACAAAATACGCAATCACAACACAGTACAATAAATCCTGTGAAGCTTTTTGGGACATCTTCCCGATGTGAAAGGCATAAATTGAAAAGCAAGGAATATTTAAGTAATCTATTCGTGTTGGCTTGGCTTTACCAAAGCAAAGAACACTGCTAGTGTGGGAGAACAATTAAGCTGTGCCATCAAACCCCTACATCTGCCAACCTGACCTCTTCTCAGAGGATTTAACAGTGATCACTGGAGAAGCTTGTAACCTTGAACATTTTGCTCTCGTCGCCAACAATAACAACAGTATTTGAAGATGTTTTGTGAAAGGAAATAATCAGAGACAAGGTTATTTTAAAATTATACTTCTAAAGCACTCTTAAGCAAAAGACTCCTGAATGTGAGAGATGAAATGATTGAAAACTAAATTATTTTCTTGTAAGAATTTTTAAGAAGTAAAACGTTTTTAAATTTATAAGAATGTAAAAAGGTGTTCACAGCCCCAAGGAAGTGAAGGCTTTCACCTTCCCAATATCCTGCCTGATTTTAACACCAGCAAAGGTGTTCAGGGATACAGTAAATTTAGGCATATTTTAATCACATTTTTGTCTTGTGTTTATAAATGAAGGGTTAAACCTCTGTTCATTCAAGGTTCCATAAATCAAGAAATATTCAACCAAAAATGATTGATTTTGTGCCCAAAATGATTGGCCACCAAAGCTCTTAGCAATACATACCAGAAGGTTGCAGGTTTGATTCCCGGCCTTTACTGAATTAGCTCGTCTCGGATGGGGTAGCAGGTGGGTAGCAGCAGCTGATACTGTCGGCCCTTGGTTATAGATGGTAGCAAACAGCAGTGAATGTTCTTACTCCTAGAAACTGCATACGGTGTGTGAAAATCATAAATAATCTGAAACAGGGCCTTTTCACATTGTCAGAAGGTCTCAAAGAACTTCACAGGATTTACTGTAAAATGTAATGTCTGTTTTTATAGGCAAATGTGGCAGCCAACTTGCACACAGCAATGTCCCCCAAACAAATCTTTGGCTAGGACACCAGGAGAAACTCTCCTCACTTTTCGAATAGTCTCATGGATTCTTTAACATCCGCCTATACAAGCAGATGGGGCCTCGGTTTAACACCTCATCCGATGGGCGGCACCTCTGACAATACAACTGTACTCCAACACTGCATTGAAGTGTCAGCAGTGTTCATTTTAAACTATGAGTTTAAATGGGCGCTTGGACCCATAGCCTTCATGACTCAGAGCGAAAAGAGCTACCAGCTGACACCTTGAATGATCTTGAATTTTTTTTAAAGGGATTATTACCCCCGGAAAGCAATCTGCCAATTAACAATCAGGTTCCTACTTGCTGCTCGGTAAACAGAGGTGTGTGGAGTAAGGAAACTTGACTAATGTTTTGCCTTGTCAGGGAATCAAACCCAATTCCTTTTGCTGTGAGGTAAGTGTTCTAACCAACATGCTACAGGGCTCTGCAGAATGAAAGAAAAGAGGGAGAAAATTGGCAAAACAAAAAGCAGAAGCAGGACGATAGACATAAATACCAGTAAATTCTGGACTTTTATAGATCTAGGAAACTATTTGAGGTTGATCAGTATGCTGCGGCCCAGGTGAAGGCTGTTCACAAAAGGCTGTTATGCCCATGTCTTTATTATTGAAGAAATACTTAAAATATCCCAAAGGAAAATGGTTTTAAATCAGCTGGGCTCCACAAGTAAATTAATTACCTACTTACAGAAATAGGCTCAATGGTATGGTAATTTTGTAATCACTGTAAAAGTACACAGCAAGAGTACAATTGGGGGCATTATTCGATCTCACAAGGTGTTTGGATATGTGATACTGTAATAACCAACAGCTTCTGCTGAGATAAATTAATGTGTAATGAGAAAGGTACATTGCCTTAACATTATATTGGCATTGAATTGCAGTGCTGTAGCTGAGAAATTCTTGCTGTGCTATCATACTGAAGGTTCCCCTGCTTGTTTTAATTGAATTTAATTTTAATATCATAATCACAACTATTGACCATAATCTTTTGACTGCCAACACAATGGATTTGCACCCTGAAGATTTCAGGCTTGGATACGTTTGGGCTTAACTGGAAGGTGATGGGGCACAGGGTAAGCCTCCAGTCAAATGGCTGTGGTTCACTTGTGAGCCTTCGCAGTGAGTGTCGGCAGGCCACTTAACTGTTCAGGTGCTCTGGCAGTCATGCTTACAGGCACCACGCCCCCAAATTCTAGAACTTTCTGCCTCAAGCCCTTGCCTCTCCGCCTTCTTCCCCATGTTCAGATTGCACCTGAAGACCTTGCTCTTTGACTGTGACTACGGTCACCTTCAGTCTTTCCCCGGCTCGTGTCAAGCACCGGCACTGTTCAGCGCTCTGAGACTCTACCCCATGCGAAGGGCGCTTTAGAAATGCAATTTTTGTTGTTGTTACTTTGTGTTTCTTATTTAAATAGTATGTTTATCTTTTCTCACTCCCCATTGGTTTACCTTCACTCTCTCTTTCTCTCTCTTTGTAAATACATATGTCACTAATTCCAAAATCCCTGCTCATCACATTTGAAATTTTAGTCATGCTTCTTCACCAAAGATCTGCTCTGTGCCAAAAGCAAACCATCTATCTTACACACAATCAGATCACCAGCAATAAGGCATTAAGCCAATTGATTTGCATTTCCAGCGAAGTATCAACAGCTGTAGCTCCCTGGTCAGCATTAGTACTACAATATTTAACATTGATTTTAAACTTCTTATTTGAAATAGTTCACAAAATAAATAATGAACAATAAATTATTTTGAATACAAAAATAAAAAATAGAGACTGATTTTTTTTGAGAAAAGTTGTTCATTAAACAAGTTATTACAGTCTCAATGATGCATAAATCTGCAAGACATGGTACATAATAGTGATTTCTGAAAAATATTTATATCCGTTACATAAAGTAATGGATAGGGCATGCTTTACAAATGGAAATAAATGTTTTGGTTATTTTCTGCTGTGAACTCGCATTATGTAATTCCATCTGGCCATTTACTGCTGTATTTCTAATTTTATCCAGATGGTTTCATCATACAAGAACATGTGAACAATTCTATAACACTGCACCTCTGGTTTCTGACAATTATTATTTGTTGTTACATTGTCGTCTCAGTACATTTACAACTAATTTAGCCTGAGGTTAACCCTAGCCTTTTCTCAAGAATGTGGAAGAAAGGGAATGCGTATGAAACAGACAATGCATATATGATCTGAAGATGAATTTTGGGTATGAATGAATTGGACGTGTACCTACCCAAACTTGCTCGGCACTAGATATGTAATTCTATTCTGACCATCTGTTATTCCATACATAATGTATATGTGGTTAGAGCTGTTCAGCTAATCAGTCTAATACGTGATATGACCCCTATTGCAATTACACAGCACAATAGTGTTTTAGTTCACATTGCACGATTCAATAAGCGGAGTCTGTGTCTGCCGTCCAGCGTGGAGGGCGCTATATAAATCCAAGTTGTTGTTGCTGCAGACTTCCTCAATTGACACCTTTCCTAAAAATAAGGTTTATTTGTCAGAAGTGCTGTCCTTCAAATGAGATGTTACATGGAAGTCCTATCTCTGCAGCCAGGACATCAGTGTAACATCTCATCTGAATTTGGTTTTTGCACATTTGGGGTCTTAGAAAATATTCGGTCAAATGATAACGTCATTTGGTTATTTCATGTCTGTCACTTTAAATTCTTAGAAATAATAATCATTTGCATTTGATATAGCACCTTATCACATCGTTGAGACTTCTCAAGACATTTCACAGGATATAATGTAAAGTCGATTGACTGTGTATTTTGTGGGCGAAACATGGCAACCAATTTGCGCACAGCAATGTCCCGCAAACAGCCATGGAGTGAGTGACCAATTTTATTTGGGGGATTTGTTGGCCAGGATTATTCATTAGTTTGCTGTACGATTGCAGCTTTTAATTTAAAATCTGATTGATGCTTAATTTCATTAAGCATATTTGAATGCAGGGTTTAAGGATAAGTTAAATATTACATTAAAGACTTCTTTCTACTTGTCTGCCAAGTCTTGTAGTGTAACTCCTTTTCTGTGGTGACTCACAAGCTATAGAAAATTTAAGAAATTCACGCAGCTCAAAGCACAGTGTAAGATGTCACTCTTGAAAGCAAATGAAATGGGTTTCTGGAAGTTTCTGGAACTCTCGGGATATTGCAGCTGGTGACAGCTGTCTTTCTTGATGATGCTGGTCACAACATTTGCTCTATCTCTCAGCTGTCTCTCTGCTCCCTAAATAGAAATGGACAGAGCTATCTTCGGGTAGAAGGGGCCTTGTTCATGTTAGGAATAAACAATTCGGAGACAGTAACATCTATATTGTTTTGGGGCCATTTTGACACGTTCTGTCATTTTCAGATGGTGTGCGTAGTTTCCTTTTTATGGAGATTGCAAATAAGTTAATGAAATAAAGACCCCTCAGGGCACGGAATCCCCCCCTGTACTGGCATTGCTCTCATTACTCTGGCCTTGGACCCATTTCACTTAAGATATATATGGGCTACACAGGTCAGGTTAACAGAGCAAAAAGTGTGAAGGAAGAGTGACTCGACACACATTTGCACATCCCAGTCAAGCATCACTTCAGCAAATTCATTACGGGGTATGTGAACATATGTTTTCTGGCTATTTTCAGCCACCTTTTATCTTTTCAATCAATTAAAGAATATCTTCTTAAAGCTGTGAGACCTGAGGTTCGGATTGTAAGAAAGTAAGTCAACAATCGAATACCTACAGGACTTATAGAGCAAGTATTAGTGAGCCCAGGCTCGCAAGCAAATGGTGCCCAAATATGGCGTGGTTCAGAGGCACTGAAGCAAGCAAGATAACAGGGCCATGTTCTTTGTGAATTTTGAAGCAGGGTTTTCACGTTGGTTTATTTAACTCATGCTCTTGTACTTGTTCAAGAATGGTAAACTGAGGAGTGTTGGTGACTCCTCAATTTCTTTTATTTTGGCTTCCCATTTTATGTTTTATTTTTTGGCAAGATTGCCGCTGATTACTCATCGTTTCTAGAAGTTGTTTTGGCTGATACATGACCTGTGATAAAATTAAAAGCCCTAAGTGATAGCAAAAAATTCCTGACTGCAGCGCTAACTCTGCCATTCAACCCTTTCATGCTGAATATTGGCAGGACAGGACCTTTTCTGTTATAACCTGAGGAACACAATTGGCAAGAGTAAACGTGCTCATTTGTTTCACTTTTCTTCCAGTTCAGTTTTTGCTACAAGTATTTAATGAGAAACCCAGACCATTTTGTCGCAAAGTCGAGCATCTAGGCTACTAAAATTTCAAATTGTCAGATCTGTTAAATTTTCTTTAATTCAATTGCTAAGAAAATACCCTTTTGTATTGTACTTAACATTAAATACAGCAATGTTTTGGGGTGTGGGTTCACAGCTTTGATAGAAACTTACAATGCTGATTATTGCTGATTACTGTTGCTTGTTTGTCATCTTTGATCCAGCTCCAGTTTTTTTATTGATCTGGAAGGAATCAGAGCACAACATCACAGGCGCTAGAGAACTGAGAGAATTGCAGATCTAGGAGTGTAGTTCTAGAGGCTTTGCTGATGTATGTGAGTTTTAAACAATAATGTTCTTATTTAAATTAATTTCCAGACAAACTTTGAGTGGTTGGGGGGGGTGGGGAAGGGAGAAGCGAGAGGAAAGTGAATAGATGTAGAAGAGGCATTCTTTTTGCGAACTCGGTGACATTGGTGTATGACTTGTGTGTGGCTTTATAATGTATCTAGTCATTGATGAAGAGGGTAAATCTCTTCCTTTGAGTGACAAAATATCTGAGATTCAAATGGCAGACTACGGAGAATAAAATTATTTTGACACTGGCGTACTTAAATTTAAACAGCTTTAAAATGTTAATCCTCTATTTTGCACTGTTTTTTCCTTTCCACTCCATATTCTCTTCCATCCTGGAGACTCTCCGCCTTGCCCCCTCTCCCTCCCATCTTTTAAAAGTCTTGACTTTTTCTTTTTTTCACCGTGTTTTGGTCACCTTTTCCCCCTCCTCCCTTCCTTCCTCAGCTCCCCTCACCCCCAGCTCAAGCTCCCAGATGCTTCTCTGAAGAGTTTTGAGAAATTCTGTATAAAATTGTCGTTGTATTCTGATGCTGTATCATAGCTTCAGGGCTTCAAATATGACACGCCTTTGAGTGGAGGTAAGCTTTAATTTAGTTTTAACATACAGCAATCTTGGAATCAGATTACATTTCACCTTCCAGTGCTCACATACTCCTCAGACCTGTGGTGAATTATACCATTACAGGAATGGATGCTTCTCTGTCAAAGCACAGAATTCTTCTCACCGTGGGGGTAAAGGACTGTGTTCTGCAGAACATAACTGTTAGAAAACAAACAACAGGCAAAGTGTGTATTAAAAATCACTCCTGCCCAAAGGCAAAATCTCTAGCTTGTTTTATTTTATACCTTACCAGACTCGGCAGTAAGCATACATTTGAAGTACTAATGATATTATCGGTTTCAAGAGGCAATTGGCTGAGGAGGATTGCCAGGTATGTGAGATAAGGAGAAGTGTCTGAAAAGGCTATAAACTGTAGAGATCTTTTTCTGATCTTTAATGCTACCAGTGCTCCTGGATAATCTACACATTGAAAAATTACACTGATCTCTTCTACTAGGTTATTAAAATCAGAATATTTAAAGTTTAGATTTAAAAAAGATATGAGGGAGGACAAGCGTGTATGCTATTAAGAGGAAGAAAGTGTGTATGTGTGCGTGTATGTCAGCATGTATGTGCAATTGTGTGTATGCATTTATGTGCATGCATATGTATATGTGCGTACGTAGGTATGTATATGTGTGAGTGTGTTTAAGTGCTCCGAGATGCTACCGTGCATGAAGGGCACTATGTAAACGCAAGTTGTTGTTGTGTGTGTCGGGAGAAGGGTCCCTTTAGATTCTGCTACACCTGAGCAATGTATTTGGCCAACGAGCAACACTGTCAGACAGCTGCAGATATCTGCTGTAAAAGTCACCTATCCTCAGTGAATTTGATTGTGCTCACTTCAAAGTATTGTTTAAGCATTTCATTGAAATATTGAAACAATGGTCTGCATACATGAGGGAGAGGGGATTAAAAGATATTGAGGCTCATGTGGAATATAAACACAAGCACAGAAGGGTTGAGCTAAATGACTTGTGTCCAGGCTGTTATAATCTATGTCTGTGTCTGGGAATTCGGGGCCTCACATGGAGGGGGTGTCACTGTTGCTATCAATTTATCAGAATGTGATGGATTAGTGCAATAACATATTCCAGGCATAACATGAATCTGCCATTATCTCAGTCTGAGGAGGATAAGGATAATGTCTTTTATCGGTTCTCACCGATGTCATCCACAGACTGGGGTCAACATGTATGCAGATGACACCCAAATCTACTTCTACTCCAGCTGCGACTCCCAGTCCACTGATGTCCTGTCAGCTTGTCAGACAGACATCAAGGCCTGGATGAGCGCAAATTTCCTGTAACGGAATATTGGCAAGAGGAAAGCTATACTCTTTGGCTCTCATCAACGGCTTCTCTCCTGCGGGTCTGAGCTCCTCACCCACCCTATCTGTCAGAACCTCCGAACCCGTGCGTAACTTTGGTCAGGTTCGATCCCCAGCTTTCCTTTCTACCACATATGCGTTCCCTGACCAGGAATGCTTTTGTCCAACTCCGCCACATTGCCTGCCTCCGTCAGTACCTCACAACCAATGCAGCTGAAGCTCTCATCTACGCCTTTGTCACTTTCTGGGTGGAATATTCCAATGCCCTCCTCGATGGTCTCCCCAGCTCCACAATACACAAAATACAATTAATTCAAAACTCTGCCACCCAGATACTTTCCTCCATGAAACTCCATACCCCCATCACACCAGTCCTTACCAGGCTCCACTGGCTCCCAATCACTGAATGGATCGACTTCATGATCCTCTCACTCGTTTTCAAATCGTTTCATTCTCTTGCACCTCCCTACCTACAAATTTGCTTACCCTCCACTCCTCCATCCGTTGCCTCCACTCGGCTGGCCCTTGCCTCCTATTCGTCCCTCGTCCCCTCCATTTTACCATCGGTGGCTGTGCCTTCAGCCACTATGTCCTGAAACTCTGGAACTCTCTTCCTCAATCCATCTGCCTTGCCCCCGCATGGCCCACCTTCAAATCCCCCTAAAGACCTTCCTTTTGGATTGTGCTTATGGTCACCTACCCCTTCCTCTCTCCTTGGCTCACTGACAGACTCCACCACTGTGAAGCACTCCGGGACGCTTCCCCACTTGAACAACAACAAAATTACATTTGTATAACGCCTTTCACATCGGGAGGATGGGCCAAGGCGCTGGACAGTCAGTGTTTTGGACCTAAGCTGGGGGTCAGGATTGGGGAGGGTGGAGGAGGGTGATCGAAAGCACGGTCGAAGAGGAGATATTGAGATGGGTCTTGAAGGAGGCAAGGGAGGGGGCGAGCAGAGGGACTGCAGGATAGAGTTCCAGTGGGCGGGGGCAGAGTGGCTTAAGGCCCACCTGCCAATGGTGGGGCAGGCGAGGCGGAGGACATGAAGCAGGCCAGAGCCCGCTGAGTGGAGAGAGCGGGCAGGAGGTAGGGGGTTAGGAGGTCACAGAGGTAGGGGGGAGCAAAGCCATAAAGGGCTTTGAAGGGGAGGACCAGGATCTTGAACTGTATCCTCTGTGTGATGGGAAGCCAGTAGAGTCAACCGAGGATGGGGGCGATAGGGTCACGGAGCCTAGTGCAAGAGAGGACATGGGCTGCAGAGTTCTAGATGATTTGCAGCCTACAGTTAAGGAGCCCGACAAGCAATGAGTTTGTATAGTCAAGCCTGGATGTTATGATTGCGTGTATGAGGGTTTCGACGGCCTATGATGTGAGACATTGGCGGAGCCAGGTGATGTTGCAGAGGTGGGGGAAGGCAGAGCAGGTCATGGCATGGATGTGGTGGTAGAAAGGATAATTGAGGGTTAAACAAGATGCCAAGGTTCTGGACTGGCTCAGTGAGGTGGAGTGTGCATCCATGGATAGTGAAGCTGTCAGCGCCAATCAGGAGAGCCTCGGTGTTGTTGATGTTCAACTGAAGTAAGTTAGCTCTCATCCAGGATTTGATGTCTGACAGACATTATGTCAGCACAGCAGTGGTCTTGGAGTTGAGGGTGGAGGCAGAGATAGAGTTGGGTGTCATCTGCATACATATGGAAGTTGACCCCATGCCTGTTGATGAGATCACCAAGAGCAAGCATATAGATATTGACAAGGAGGGGACCAAGGATAGAGCCTGAGGAACGCCGCACAAGATGCTGTGGGGGCTAGAGGAAAAACTGTTTGTGGAGATAAAGTGGAGGCGGTGTGAGAGGTACAATCTGAATCATTCAAGGACAGCGCCGCGAAAGTTGAGGTGAGAGGAGAGGCGGTGGGTCGAAGGCAGCAGAGAGGTCAAGGAGGACGAGGAGGCAGATCTGGTCACAGATGGACAGAATGTCACTTGTCACTTTGACCAGGGCTGTTTCTGTGCTGTGGGCGGCACGGAAACCCGATTGGAGGGGTTCGTGAAGGGAATGTCGGGAGAGGAAGGAGCGAAGCTGAGAAGCAATGACTCGTTCCAGGACCTTGGAGAGGAAAGGGAGGTTGGAGATGGGGCAGTAGTTTGAGAGCAGGCATGGGTCCAGGGAGGGTCAAGGAGGTGGAGCTGGGAGGTAAGCAGAGGGGTAGGGATGGGGTCGAGGGAGCAGATGGTCGGTTTCATGCGGGTTATAGTGGTGGTGAGAGAGGAGTGGGAGACAGGTTCGAAGGTGTGGAGGGAGGGATGGGTAGGGGACGGGATGTGAGGGGGAGATGGGGAGGAGGTAGACAGAAGGGCAGAGGCAGCTGAGCGGATACCCTCGACTTTGGATTCGAGGAAGTCCAGCTTTGCCTTGCAGTTGCCATTGGAGGTGAGGATGGGCGAGGCACGAGAAGGTGGGCAGCGCATGAGAGGTTGGACGGAGGAGCTGGTTGGTGATTGAGCAGAGAAGCCTGGGGTTGTCCTTGGCCTCCAAGGTTGTCTTGGAGTAGAACAACGATTTAGCAGAGGCGAGGGCATGGGGTAAGATTTGATAAGGTCCAGCCAGATATGCCAATGGAACATTAAGTTCGATTTAAGCCAGGTGTGTTTATTGGCATGCACCAGTGCTTTAAGGGAGCAGAGGTGGCTGGTGTACCATGGTGACTTTTGTGAGTAGAAGACGGTTTGGAAGTGAGGGGAGCAAGGGAATTGGGAGTGGTGGAGAGGGAGTTGTGGAGGAGGGTGAACAAGGAGGATAGGTCATTGCGGGAGGAAGCCCAGAGTGGGAGGTGTTCAGATGACTCCAAGGCAGTGGAGAGGAGGGAGGGGTGGGAGATTTTTTTCCAGGGGAGGGTAGGAGATGGAGGTGGGTTGGGTGGCGGTAAGGAAAGGGATTGAGGCAGATGAACTGATGGTCTGAGATTGCTTTGTCAATGATAGTGAGGACCGAGATGGTGTGGCCCCAAGTGATCTCCAGGTCGAGGAGGGAGAGGTAAGATATGAAGGTGGAAGGTGCGGAATGGCTTGGGGTAGGGCAATAGATAAGGAAACTTTTGATGGAAAGGTTGGAGGTGTGATAAAGGGTAAGGTGCTCAAAGGAGGGGAAGGTTCCAGAGGAGTAAGGGGATAGGCCAAGCAAAGACTGGGAGATAAGAGCCACACTGCCACCACGGGGTTAGGTAGTGGGGTATGATGGAAGGTGTAGCCGGGTGATGTGGCCTCTGTCAGGGGAAAGGTATCGCCTGGTGTGACCCAGGTTTCAGTGAGGGCAAGAATGTCGATGTTTGATGGTGAGTGTTTTATTGGAGAGGGAGCGGACATTTTGTAGGCCGATGCGGAGGAAACGGTTGGTGGTGGAATGTAGGGAACGAGGTGGGGAGGAGTGAAAGGGAGGGTGGGGATGTGAATGAAGCATGTGCAGGGTGCTAAGTAAATACTAGTTGTTGTTCTGCTGGTGTCAAAACTAAGTGTATTGAAGCAATTTGGGGCTTTGTGACATTTTGGTAAATGCTTGGACTCATGGGGGTGAAGGATCTTTTTGCTAGGGTATGATACACTTTTCATCTTTGATGTTTAGGGTCACCAACAAGCATGCTGAGGGGAGGGGAACATTTAAAATAATGAAACTGTGCTGGATTTACAGCGGCCTGAATGAACTCTGGTAACAAATGATGGAATCGTTAACCTAATGCACTTCACAGCTCATCAGAGAAGGAAGTGTTCTTCTCAGCAGTCTGAGGATGGATGCTTCAGATCAATGCAAATATATAGCCAATGATGAACTTAAAAATGTGCCTCGGCAAGTGAAATTAGTGTTTACTTTGAAATGTGACTTAAATGCACATCTTGGACAGAACTGATAATCTTCACAAATGAAACTTGGAAACATTACAAACAATTAAATCCAACCTAAGTCTACCCTTTACGGAAATGTCTCACTTTTCACTTGATAAGCAATAAAGTGATGCCAGATGAATGCATGTCTTGGAGTACACAGTGTTTCTGTGCCACATTTCCTACAATATTTATTCACTGTTAACCATGCTCAGGATGGATTCTTTGTAATGCAGAGAAGAGTCAACAAGGCTGATACTCAATGTTAGGAGGATGAACTGCAAAGTATAACTTGATAAACTAGGGGTCTTTGGCTTTTAAAAGAGAAGTTTCAGAGGGGACTTTACAGAGGTTTTCAAGATTCTCAATGGTAGAGAGTGTAAACTCAGAATAATCCTTTAAGATATGCAATAGCTGCATAACAAGAGGGTGCAAGTTCAGGGATGTGAAGAGCAATTTTAAGACAGACACCAAGAAGTATTTCTTTTCACAAAATATAGTTAATGGATGGAATTTGTTTTCCAGGAAGGTTGTTAAGCGCTCCGAGATGCCGTCCGGCATGAAGGGCGCTACATAAACGTTATATAAAGTTGTTGTTAAAGGACACTGAACTCATTTAAGAACCAGCAAGGCATTTAATGTCAGTGATGGCATGATAGTATAAGTAGTAACTTGGAATGTTAATCCTTGTTTTCATTTCATACTTATAACATTAAAGAGTTTCAAAGTGCTTCACAGGGAATTACTGTTAGTGCGGGGACTGTAATTTTGTAGGCAAACATAGCAGACATTTGTGTCAGCAAGTCCCACGAACAACCATGAGGTGGACAACCAATTAACCTGGAAATTGTTGGCAAGGATACTGGTGGAAACTCCCTTCACTTTTCAAATAGTACCATGGGATCTTTAAGGTTCTTCTGAACACGCAGACTGGATTCCAGTTTAACATCTCATCTAAAAGATACCATTTTTTAAAGGCACCATCCATGCATCATTCTTCAAAGACGTCCCCCACCCCCTGCCCCATTATCTCCACCGCTGTCTCCTAGCAACTCACCTGCAAGTCAGATCTGTCAAGTGAATAGAGTGAATTTCTTCATCCGAACCTCTCTTGTGATGTATTGATTTCAGATGGAGGACCCAGTTCAATTAAAGGAGGAAGGTAATAGATGCTTTCAGAACAATGACCATGACAAAGCTATTGAGAACTATACTAAAGCAATCCAACTGAGCAAGGACAAGAAACTTTTAGGTGTGCTTTACAGAAATCGAGCAGCGTGTCACTTGAAAAAGGTAGGAACTGAACCCAAACTGATTTGACTTTAAACATGAACAGTAATAAATGAATGAATACCCTAAGTGTTGATTAATTCTGTTGAAGAAATACTATTCATAGAACAATATAAAAAAAGTTCTTTGGAAACTTCTAGTACACAAAGATTTATGTTATTTTACTGTAATGAAAGTGACATTAACACAAATGTAAGATTATCAATTTAAGTATAAATTGAAGTGCATATGTTTGATTGAAATAAACTGACAATGAGCCATCTGATTACAGCATGAGATATTTATATTTATCTTTCAGCTCAGTTTGTTATCAGAGTAAACATGAAGTGTTTCCCCTCTGCATAATCTGTTCTGCCAGTGTTATTTTCTAGCAATTAACCAATCTAGGATTCCTTCACCTTCAAGCCTGCTGTCGTCTATAGGTCTATTATAAGTCTACCTGCATGATTTCATGTCTAAGTTGTGATTCTGACAGCTGGTTGGGCTCTGCACTGTATCATCGCCTAAGTGTTGGGCTAACAAGGTTACAAATAAATGAAACATTGAATGACAGTAAATGATGGATATCATGTCGAATCTTTCAGTAATCCATATAACCATAGAAATTTACAGCACCTGAGAAGGCCATTCTACCCATCATGTCTGTGCTCGCCGCTAAGCTATAAGAGAGTAATTTAGGGTACATCTGGGACATTTGGCAATGATTTGTTGCAAAACATGTGGTATTTAATGGGAAGAGAGAGCCTTGCTCCTTGGAGGAGGGAGCAATGCAATTTGTGCGACTGTAATATAAAAGTGTTGCGTTGAAATTTGTATGGGGATTGCTCCTTTAAATTGTGTTTCACAGCTCTCAGACTATCCCTTAAATGACTAGCCCCTTGGAAGTTTCATAAAACAGATTTGTTAATGATCAAATATGTTCAGAAAAGTCCCATTTTTCCATTTGACCCCTTCCCCCCGGCAGACATCAGCTCAATGGCTGAGCCAGAAGAAATCCTTGTTGCTATTGTTTTGATTTTAGTGCTGCTTTGTGGGAAACCGACAAGGTTAACTTAATCTGTGTCCTGTGGTTTGGCAGTGACACACCAGCTCGGGCCCAGAGCAAGAATCAGGGCCAGGAGTGGGAATCCAAGGCAGCAGTGTATAAATAATAATAATAATAGTAATAATCCTTGCATTTGATATAATCATCAAACAAGTTTCAAACCCAACCATTCATCCCAAGGCAGGAAGGAGGTGGGAGTTGGGAAGAAAGCACAAATGGGGATTTCACAGCTGCGGTCAGTCTTTAAGAATCGATGGCAAATTATGATACTTTAGGACAGATTTGATAAACCATTTAATAATTAATTTAATCTTTTATGGAACTAGGCAAATTTTCACCCCGTGGTCCTGAAATGTGGCATTGAAATGTCAGCTGTGGAGTAGGGATCCAGAGACCAGATTGGGGCCAGCAGTGGGAATCGAAGGCAGCAGTGCAGAAATCACTGAACCAGTTTCAAACCCAACTATTAATCCCAAGCCACCACCCATCCAGTCTGTTCTTACTTTTAGATGCTGTCTGATGTGAAGGAAGCTATATAGACCCAAGTTGTTGTTGTAATGACCAGTCATAAGGGCACAGCCTTAAAAATAGAACCAAGCCAGACAGAACTGAGGTCATGAAAATGTCCTCACCGAGAGGGTTGTGAAGATGTGGAGCACTCTGCTCCAGAAAGCTGCAGAAGTGAAATCAATAGGGATTTTTGAAATCAAGAGAGATAGACAGATAGATACCCGGGTAGTAGAGGTATTAAGGAAGATGACAAAAGGATATTGGCTCTGGAAGATAAAGTGGTGGAACAGGCTCAATAGGCTGAATTGCAGCCTACTCCTCCTGTTTCCCTATGTGCTATCCCTTCAGCTTTTGTTACCTTTATTACCGCAGCTGCTAAAAACATTTGGAAGAATGTGAAGAATGTGAGAGTGATGTACGCAACAAAAATTGGCCACTAATCTTTTCCTTTTCTCTCCTTGAAGGAAAACTATGTACCAGCCGCAACAGATGCCTCAAAAGGTAAGTCCTTGCCTGTGTCTAGCACAACATTAAAAGCTCTGAAACAAGCTGAATAATTTTTTCACATTGATTTTACTTGAGCAACAACAGATCCGTGCTAGTAGTTTCAGCCACTCTGTCTCCACTCTAGGAACTCCATCCTAGAATCTCAATGGAGGCCTGTAGCTCAGTGGTTAGAGCACTTGCCTTGCAAGCGAGACACGTGGGTTCAATTCCAGGCAGAGGGCGAAACCTTGGGCAAGTTTCCTTCCTCCACACGCCTAATAATAATCCCTCCAAAAAACAAAACAATAATAAATTGGTCATTTTTAATCCACGACTGTTTGTGGGACACTGCTGTGCACAATTGGCTGCTGCGTTTTGCCCACAAATATTCAGTCAATTCATTTTATAGCGTATTCTGTGAAGCGCTTTGAGACGTCTAGAAGACGTGAAAAGTGCTATATCAAATGCAAGAATTATTATTATTATAATGCCTTTCCCTCTCCCTTCCCACCTTCAAACCCTGCCTAAAGATCTACCTTGTTGCTCTAGGACTATAACCTGTGTGAGGGGTGTTATATAGATGCAAGTTGTTGTTGTTGTCTGTGCTTTCAGTCACTTTTTCCCTCCCACCCACTCACTTCAGGCTCCCAGTCAGCAGTGTGAAGGACTTTGAGATGCCACCTCGACATGAAAAATAAATAAATGTAAATTGTTGTTGTCATTTCACCAGCCATTGATGTGGATGCATCGGATATCAAAGCTCTCTTCAGGCGGAGTCAGGCTCTGGAAAAGCTGGGAAAACTGGACCAGGCGTTCAAAGATGTACAGCGCTGTGTCACAATCGAGCCTAAAAACAAAACCTTTCAAGAAATGTTGCGACATCTGAATACTAACATCCAGGAGAAGGTTAGAAACTATGGTGTAACATTTATGATAGTTCTTAAGTATTTATATAGATTGTACAACACAGAAACAGGCCATTGTGGCCCAAATAGTCTGCCCCGGTGTTTAAATGACACACAAATCTGAATATCAGTTGGGAATCGAACCCGGGCCTCCCATGTGGCAGGTGAGAATCCCCCACTGAAGCGCCAATACACATTAGCTCTGATGTTAATTGTTGTTTCAATGTCACACTCTGCCTGTTGTATTACCCTGGCTGATCACTGGGGCGGAGTCGTCTCTCACCGAGTTCTCTGATGTTCAAACTGATCTGCGGGCATCTCGGAATTCTAGCCAAAAGGTTTTTTTTGACCCTCAAAGAGTGAAGTAGTTTTGTTTTTGTTTTAACACTTATTTACTGGCTTGGATCTTCGAGTGAGTGATGGTTTGTGTTCATTACGGCCCAGAATATATTAGTTCATAGTCGACTTTGGACTTAGCTCGGTGTTACCTTTGAGAGCACTGCATTTATGCACTGTCTTGGCCAATAAACCTTCAGATAAATTGATAAATGCACTGCATGACTGCCATTGTTGTATGAAAAATTGGCTGCTACATTTGCCAATGAATGCAGTCACTACTCTTCCAGAAACTCTTTCAAAGTGCGCTGAATGTGAATAAAATCCATCATTTTTGTTAAAAAGCTTACATTTAGTTTGTGACTTTTTCCCTGTTTCAACAGCTGAAAATTCAGTTCTCCACAGATAGCAGAGTAGAAAGGATGTTTGAGGTCTTACTTGATGAGAACACTGACAAAGAGAAGAAAGAAAAGGTTTGTTTTCCTCTTGTTTGGTCGAGGGTGAGACTTTTATGTGTTTTTTCCAATTTCTTTGCTCAATATATTCAAAAACATGTTGATGATTGGTGGCAGATTTGTCACACTTTTCAACATTCACATCACATATCACATTTCTCATCTCAATAAATCCACCCTCAAGCCCTCCAAATTCTCCCTATTCTTTCCGGGCATTTTGCGGAATTGTAAATGCTGTTATTTTAATGTGTCAGTGTGGCTCATTTGGTACCGTTTTCCCTTCCAAGTTAGAAGATTGTGGGTTCAAGCCCCATGTTGGAACTTTAACTTCCTTGTCTCCAGTGTAGTACTGGAGAGGTGTCACATTGCCAGAGGTGCTGTCCTTCGGATGAGTCATCAAACTGAGGTCTTGTCTGCTGTCCAGGTGGAAGGTAAACGTCCCATGGCACTATTTGCAAAGAGAAGGGAGATTCTCCTGGTGTACTGGCCAACAATCCTCCAGATCAATTGATAAATTTACTTCATGGCTGTTTGTGTGCCATTACTGTATGCAAATTGGCTGCCACTTTTGCCTATAAATGCACAGTCACTACTCTTCACAGAAACATATTTGAGAAATTTCGACATGATGAGGCACTATATCAAAAGCAAGTGTCATCATTATTCTTATTTTATCATCATTTTCTCTTCCCTCTGGTTCAGATTTTTTGGGTGTTAAATTAACTATATATATATATAATATATGATAGGTATAAAGATTATCTATCATCAACATCACATTTACAATATAAGATCCACCTCAGTTCCCATCCTCAGCATGGGTGGTCATCCACCATTGTGAATCACTTTGCGACATTCTCCCGATGTGAAATGCGTTAAATAAATCTAAACTGCATTATATTATACCCTAGCCCCAGCTTGGGTCCAAACCCAGCGCTTTGGGACATCCTCCTGACATGAAAGCACTTTATAAATGCAATTTGTTGTTGTTGTATTGTCAGACTTCAGGGAATGCCTTTGCATTCATACAAAATGCTCCTTCATTATGTCACCAAAGAGCAGAGGGCAACAATGAAATTTTTTACCACTGCAGAAATTCAGGATTAATTCCATCAATTTGATGCCAAAATTAACATACAGCAGTGAAGAAGAGATTTTGTCCACTTCATCCACAAAACACAGTCACTGCACTTAACAGAATATCGTGAAGCACTCTGGGATATCCTCTTGACCTGAACGTTGCTATAATAAGAACCTTGCTATGCCAAATCTAAGGATCATTTATTATTATATTTTGCTACAAAGCAATTGATTATTATTCGCACCCATTACTTCAAAAGAAATGGAAAGCAAAACTTTAATTTATGATCTCAAACTGATTTAGCCAAAAAAGGGTATTTTCTCAGATAATAAATTGCACGTTTTTGTTTAATGACAATAAAGAGCTGGCATGTATGTATTATTCCAAATATTAGTTTAACATTTCTCCCCAAATATAATTTCTTTATGCAGGCTATAAGCAATATGATTGTCCTGGCGAGGGAGGATTCTGGAGCTGAAAAGATTTTCAGAAATGGTGGTGTTGATCTCTTGCTGCGTCTCATTGAAACCAAGGACCCAGAGATGATCCTTGCTGCTATAAGAACACTTTCAGGCATGTGCAGTCGGCACAAGGCAAGGGTGAGTGACAACCATACTGAGTAAAGTGTTCTAACAATTTAAAGGAGTAAATGACTGCACAAGAGCTTTTGTTCCACACAGCAGCAATAATGTAAATGATAATAATAAAAAAATTACACAAGTACATACAGACAGGACAATCAGCTGTAACAGAACAGATATTATCATAAAGAATCAAATAGATTAAACATGTAGTATGATTGATGTGGCTGTCCCGAATTATTACAATGTGAAAAATAAGGACATAGTTCCTATAGTCATTGGTGAAACTGGGACTGTTAATAAGACTATTTATAGGTAGCTTGACAAAATACCCGGTGAATAAAATATCAACCTCCTGCAAAAAGTAGCTATTTGGGGAAGCTCAAATATATCAAGAAAAATAACATAAGTAAAGTGGCAGCTTGACCCATCACTGAAACCTATTTACATCTTACCGCTACAAAGCGAGTTAAATTGTAATAATAATCCTTGCATTTGGTATAGGGTCTTTCACGTTGGGAGGATGACTCAAAGCACTTTACAGGATTTTACATTTACAGGATTTTACATTTTGTAGGCAAACAATGACACAATTTGCACACGGCAATGTTCTACAAACATCCATGAAATGAAAGACCAATTGTATCTGGGGGATTGTTAGCCAGGACACAGGATACAATTGGTCTTTCATTTCACATTGGGACTTTGAACACATAGACTAGGCTCATGCTGCAAGGCATTACTAGGAGCGCGCTGCAGTGTTGGTGGAGCCGTCCATCGGATGAGATGCGAAACCGAGTGCCGGCCTGCCTGTTCAGGGGAAGTTAAAGATCCTATTCGAACAGAGGAGAAAGTTTCTTCTGATGTCCTGGTCAACAAAACAAAATTGTGAGCCAGGACATAGGAGAAATTCTCTTTTTTCTTATCGAATGGTGCAATGGAATTTTTAATGTCCATCTGAACAGACAGATGGGACTTTGATTTAGCATCTCCTCCAAACGACAGCATCTTCAAAGATGCAGGGCTGTTGTGAAACATCATGTTTTTCACCCTTACACTTACCCTCTAGCAGCTCATTTTCCCATAAGCAGCCTACTGTTTATTTCAACTATCTCTAACCTGACTAATTATTGTAAAACCTAATGAGCCAATATCCCCACTTGGGAATTCCAAACAAAATCCGTCACTCACTTCATGGCTGTTTATGGGACACTGCTGTGTGCAAATTGGCTGTTGCATTTGCCTGCAAATAAACAGTAACTACATTCACGGTGAAAAACTTTGAAGTGCTTTGAGACATCTCGATGACACGATAAGGTACTATATCAGATGCAAGAATTAATAATTATAATATGAATGAAGGTAATTCACAAAAGCATTCTTGAATCTCTTCCATATTAATTGACAAAGCATCGGGCTGCCTTTCCAATTGGTGTTGCATATTGAGTTGTGTCAGACACAGAAGAGGTGTCTCCATTGAAATTATGCATTGCCAGAGGTGCTATTCATAACACTGACCAGAATTTCAGCCTTCTTACTGGTAATCAGCAAGTGTTCAGTCAGAAAGAGCAGAGATTCCTTATCTTAACTCTACTGAAGGCGGGAGGGTGTGTTATGAGGTTGTAGCTCTTAGAATAAAAACGATCATTGGTTATCCATAATCGTTAGGTAGCTTACTATTCCTACTGGCAGATATAATGTATTTCCTGTCAAACCTGATTAGCAGAGGAATTCCTGATCTTGAAATAGCAAATAAATTATTAAACAGGATGTTCAGCTTCTGAAAATTGCATTTCAAAGTTAAGCTTAAGGCAGCAAATAATAATAATTCTCGCATTTGATACAATGTGTTTCAAGTCGTGAGGACATCTCAAAGTGCTTCACATGATTCACTGTAAAGTGTAGTGACTATTATTGTAGGCGAATGGGGCAGTCAATTTCCCACAATAGAATACAATTCTACAATTTGCATTTATATAGCGCCTCTCATGTCAGGAGTGTCTCAGAATGCTTGAACAAACATCCATGAAATGAATGGTCTATATTTGGTAATAAAGTACTTTATACTAACAACAAAAGTCCTTGCATTTGATATAGTGCCTTACAGCCTAGCTCAGTTTGGCACACTCTCGCCTCTGAGTCAGAATGCTGTGGGTTCAAGGCCAACATCAGGAACAACTTGGAACACATATAGTCTCTGCTAGTGCTGACCAAACTACAGCCCATGGGCTGGTTCTGGCCTGTAGCGTTGTCATGAGGCGCACCCCACCCCCGAATAGTTGTAATAATCTAAGTAAGTCTGTGTTCGATCAGTAGAGGATTTTCTTGATTGAATATTTCTTGATGTATCAAGAAATATTCAATCAAAAAAATTAATTTGTTGGCCGATCAAAATGAGTGTTCGATGCTGTCACTTCAGTGCAGTGCTGGTGGGATGCTGACTGCATACAGTGAAAGCTGCTTTAGCCGGATACTAGTTAACCCCATACAAAGACCCCAGCCCCGATTCATTTATATTCTTGCCTGTTTAAAATATGCCGGTTAATCCGGACAAAATGCCACACTGGTCCCGGCTGCGTCTACTCACTCCTTCCCACCTTCTGTGTCTCGAGCGGCTCCACTCAGCCATGTGCGTCTCCAGGATGGAGGTGAGAAGAGTTAACGTGATTAATTGGCAGCGGTTTCCAGCCATTCACAAGTGGCTCCAGGCTGTCAATCAGTGAGGGGGCGCGTGGAGGAACGGGGCAGAAACAAGGGAGGGAATAGGAAGAGTCAAATCGTGATTGATTGACAGCTAGAACTGCTTATGAACGGGTGGAGTCTATCTATTCACAACCGGCTTCAGGGTGTCAACCACGTAGGAGCCGCCACCGCTAATTGGTCTCCTTCCTGTCCACTGGGAACTGCAATAGGAGAGAGGAGGCACTGCCACCACCCCTCTACTGGGAGGGAAGAGAACTTCACCTAGCCTCGGACACCACTTAAGCCAAACCAAAAATTCAGCCTGATGTGTCCAGCTTAAGCGGCTTCCACTATATCTGCAGGTGAACGACTTTACATTGAAAGTGCTCAAGTACTTGTCCCCCATCCACCCCACCTCTTTGTGAATGACCAAAAAATGGTCATTTACTTTATGGTTGTTTCTGGGACAATATTATGGGCAAAAATTGACTGGTGCATTCGTCTACAAATACAAGCCACTACATTTCACAGTAAAATCCTGTAAAGCACTTTGAGGTGTCTCAATTGCATGATAAGGTATTATATCAAATTCAAGTATTATTCATTACATAAATATAAATGATATCATATTGACAATACCGCTTCTTTTTAATTCTATTCAGCAGCGCAAAGCAAATACATATTAATGAACTCATTTGCATTGATTTCCACCTTCCTTTGACTCTGGCGTGTTTGAATTTCTGAGATGTGCCTGCAATTAAATTACCTTATTCAGTGCATGTCAAACAATGTAATGTACTCCCCACAGTCAAAAATAACAAAATCTTATTCTATTTATTTTAAAGACGTGCCATTTGTGGACAACACGTCTATAGGGATCAGGCCTATGACCGTTTCAAACTCACTTGATTGTTTTTCTCAATGGTACCTCACCAGTAAACGTATCACATTACTGCATAAAACATTCAGCGGGAAACAATTGCTTCCTGTATTAATTCTGCGTCCTTTGCAGCAGAAAGCAAAGAGAAATGTCAAGGCAATAAGGTGAATGAGGATATATATTACCTGAAGGGAAAAATACATTATGCAATTATATTTTGATGTAATTAAATGCAAATCCACTAGAATGTGGTGCTGTGAATGAAACAGAAGCAATATAATTTAGGATTGGGTGGTTTGGGCGGGTGTTTGGGGGAGGCGGGAGGAATGTAGCATGTCCTTTTTGGGGGGTTAGGCCTGCTCACCCCCAGTAACTGAATTAGATCAAAACGTTCCATTTTGGGAACAATTTTCCAAATTGAGACATCAATTGAGACATCCCTACAGACAAGCCCGAATCCCCTCCAAATTCTTGTGATAATTGATGTCATGTTGCCAGCCTGACTCAGTTGGTTGCACTCTCGCCTCTGAGTTAGAAGGTTGTGGCTTCAAGCCCCAGTGTCTCACTTCACACATGTTTGTGAGTCATTGCTATGTGCAAATTGACTGCTGCGATGGCCTGCAAAATATATACAGCCAATATGATTTATGGTAAAATCCTGTGAAGCACGTCGAGGCGTTTCAACAATGTGATAAGGCATTATATTAAGTGCAAGGATTATAAGAATTATCACAGCATCTGCTGCATATGCCTCCCACAAATTAGCAGGATGAAAATGTGCTCAGTAATTCATCAAAAAAATCCACAGAGGTGTACGGTCCAAAGTAATTCAGAAAGGGTTAGGAAAAGCTTTCAACATTGATGTAACTATGAATTAATTGCATACAAAACACATGCCCAACTTTTCTTATTTGAGTACCTATCATTTTATGTGTTTTGCCTCATTTTCCAAACACAGGCTTTTTGGGATGTACTAAACAGGAGTGATCCCCAATGACACAGTCAATGACTGATGTGAAAAAGCACGTCACCCTATTGGTCATTTGTCATTGCTGCCATCTGCTGTTGGATGAACCTCAGCGAACTGGCTATTGATTGGATGGTGGCAAAGCTCTCACTCTCACTGAGCTGCTCACCAGGAAGCTCGCAAGTTGTTTCTGGTACCTACTATCCCACCTCCTGGGACCTCAAATACACTTGTCTGACATCTAATGAGCAACTAGTGATTATCCTTGTGGGTTGCGAGGGGTAAGGAGAGGGGTGAAAATGAAAGATCTCCTTCAGGCTGATCTGCTTCCAACATGACGTGCCTAACAACGAAATACTGGAATCGAGCCCATCCTCTGTGGCAGTCTTGATCACCTAGTTTCTGAGCCAGGTGGGTCTGCAGTAAACAAAGGCACTGTTGATGACAGATCATCCAGTCTGGCTCATCGAGAGGACTTGGAAGGGCAGACTAGTCAATGGGGGCAAGTATTCTTCCCGCTCAACTCCTGTTAACTGTGCAAACCAAAGCCTTAACAGGTAGTGTGGCCCTAGCTGGACAAACAGCGATAAGGTTGCATAACAGTGCTCTCAATGTCAAACTATGTGGTTTTATTTGGTTCAGGTACTCTAATACTCTCTGGAATTAGATAAACACACTGTGTTTCTCTTTGGAAAGAGAGTGCATTTCATTCCAGACACAGGGAAATTTCCAAAAGTGGGTGACATGGATACGTGGAACTTTTGGGTTTGAATATTCCCATGCATAGTGATTTGCAGTCACCTGACATAGTAATAATAATAATCCTTGCATTTGATATAGCGCTTTACACGTAGGGAGGACGTCCCAAAGCGCTTCACAGAACACACTGTAAAAGGAATTGACTGTATATTTGTGGGGCGAACGCAGCAGCCAATTGCGCACAGCATGTCCCACAAACAGTCATGGATTGAAAATGACCAATTTATTATTGTTTTGTTTTTTGGAGGGATTATTATTAGGCGTGTGGAGTAAGGAAACTTGCCCAAGGTTTCGCCCTGCCTGGAATTGAACTCAGGTCTCTCGTTTGCAAAGCGAGTGCTCTAACCACTGAGCTACAGGACTTCACGACATGAAGTTACTTCATGGTTCACGACCAGGAGTTACTAACTTCTGATTTCTCTCATTCCTGGATGGGATGTTAAGCTTGCTGTCTGACTGGCAATGTTGTGTTCACAGGCTTGCGCTATAATGCATTTGGTGAATTTGGAAAAGATTTGCAGTATCATGGCACTAGATCATGAAGAAATTGCCTTGTCCACCTGCAACCTCTTGCAGACCATCTTGGAGACCTTTAGTGGAGAAGACATGAAGGATCCCCGTGGCAAGGAGGAAGCTATGCTGCTGGGTAACTATCAGTCAGTCTGTGTGGATCATAACGTAAAGTATTGATGAGTTGAGCATTAATGGATTGCAGCTGCAGCTGACGTATATTATCATTCTAATCCTTTAGAGAGTTTGAAGACCACAGCACAGTAGGACCTGCTTTTTACACTGATGACTCCACACGCTAAATAAGGCTCTGATCTCAGCCTAACTGATGTCAGTGCATAGGCAGGGAAGAAAAATTGGCAGTCACATCAGTCTTCTGTATCTCCTCTGTATCTATCAATGATTCTTTCAAGAGCTAGCATTGGAAGATGTCTGGTTGGAGGTCACATTAACAAGACAACGTTATGAGTGACTAAAAGAGAAAAGAGGGGGAGACGAGTGCAAAATCAAGAAAAAATCAGTCGCAAATTTCTACCCAGGACAGTATTTTGTAAAGTATTTTGTAGAGCGATGATAAAATAGTATCCCAGTATTAATAATTGTGAAGAATTAATCGTTTATTTATAAGTTGATTTTAATTAATTAAACATTAAAAATAGGAAGAACAGCGTGTTAAACCTTCTGATTGACCGCGAATCAAGAGAGCACTTTTGATGTTTTGCAGCTGTTTTATTGATATATATTATTCTGCAGACACAACTCGAGATGAAAAAATGATCATAGCACGACTTTTAGAGATGCTGGTCAACAAGAATGTCTCAGGTCATGGGCGAGATCAAGCCCTTAATCTGCTCATCAGAAATGTACCAAGAAAGAATCTGGATACTAAAGATAACACCAGAAGCTTGGATGCGGTTGATATGGGTGAGTATTGTGTGTTTTTTTCAAAAAGTTGATTAGAAAGAGAGAAGAGAAAGAATGAGAAAAAGAAATAACTTGTGTTTTTACAGTGCATGTGAAAAGGTGAGGTTAATGGGTTTTCGTCAAAGACACATAGAATCAAAATTTTTCTGTGCAGAAGCAAGTCATTCGATAAAACTTGTCATTTTTTCAGCATTCTTCAATATTAATTCAACTTTGGAACTTCCAGCCTTTTCCCCATATCCTTTAATATTTTTGCTGGAGTAAAATCATTGGAAGAGAAACTACTGAATTATTATAATAATGATAATAATAATAATAATAACTGGTGCAAGTGCCTGCTGCGTTATGCTAACGACTTGGATCTCTGCAGTGGGAGTGGGAAAGCTTTGCTCATACTGGTGGTGGCGTTTCAGTGACTGAGGCGGGATGTTTGACTCTTTTCAGTGGGCAAAAGTAAATTGGCAGGCTACTTCAGTTACAAAACCACTTTAGTTCTCAGACCCTTTGCAGGTCCTGTGTCTGCAGACTGCCAGTTCTACACCTCTTCAATTCACACAAGTGGTTTACACCATCACACATTAAACTGCTTTTCAAATGAGTCCAGTGTCCTGGTCTCATCCACCCTGAGTTGATGAGCTTTGATTAATAACAATCCTTTACTTGGGATCAAAAAGCTGTCTGACTTGCCTCTTATAGTTCTAAGTGTAGACCAGCATCACCAATGACAAAGATTTTTGTCACTTCATAAACACTGATAGTGGTTAGCAAATCAATGGATATGGGCAGGAGGATACATTTTCAGCTTGGCTTGGCTTAAGCATAGCTCCAATAGGACTCCAGGCTGCTGGCTCACCCTGCTCTATTGGAGGCAATAGTTTGACATGATGTGTCCGTGAGCCATTAGATAATACAATAATTCTATAATAGTGTGTCGTGTAACCTTTCATTCCCCCAAGGATTAAAAGATTTTTTGAGATGATATAACATCTCACCATGACACTACAATACCTGGATTAGTTTCAGCGCACTTTAACAACTCTTTGAACAATCATATAATGAGGCCAACACAAACAGATTGAAGACAAACTGGTTACTTAGGTGCTGCTATTATATTAGTTTCTCTCCCCCCTTCCTCCTTCTACCATGCCAGTTTGGAGAGAGTCATATAATCTTTGTATTGCGGTTTGGGCTCTAGACAATTGGAATGATTCAGTCATCTCATTTCATAGTAATATCCTGAAATGTTATAATGTACAATTAAAAGGCTTTTAAAACCCAAGCCTGGCACTACCGAACCACTATTCCTTGATTTTACCTATTTTGTTTCTCTATTCCCTTAAACCTTGAAGAATCGCTAAACTAAATCCCCTTAGCTCTGCACCTCGGATGCTTAATTTGCTGAAAATGAACAAGAAATTTCAAAGCAAATGTATTACTCCACAGTGAAACTCTATGTCACAGACCTCATTGGAACTCTGCATAAGTGTCAGCCAATGAAGCAACACAGGAAAGCTTAGCAGCTTTATTCCTTGCTTTGCACACATTGTCCGCGAGCAAAGCATCAATGGGAAATCTTTCAAATGTTAAGCAAGTCTAGATTGTCCACACAAGGGTGTATTTCAAGTTGTAACATACACTTGGGATTCAGGGGATGGTGTCAACTACTTAAAATCTTTTGTCGGCATTTGAAGGCCTACAAATAAATAATAATTTTGTTTCACCCACAAAATAGTCAATCCAATTTACAGTATATCCTGTGAAGCGCTTTGAGACATCCTCTTGACTGTGTGATAAGGTGCTATATCAAATACAGATTATTATAATTAATAATTTTACATTTGACACAGTATTTTTTAAGTTGAGAGGGTGTCTCAAAGCGCTTCACAGGATACATAAAGTGAAGTGACTGTATTTGCAGGTGAACGTGGCAGCCAATTTACATACAGCTATCCGGCAAACAGCCATGAAGTGAAATAATCAATTTAATTCGGGGCCTTATATGCCAGGACACCACGAGAAACTCCCTTCTCTTTTCGAATACTGCCTGGAGATCTTTAACCATTCATTTGAAACAGGCAGAAGGGACCTCGGTTCTAATGTCTCATTCAAAGGATGACACCTGCAACAATGTAGCCCCACCCCCCTCCCTCAACACTGCATTGGATTGTCAGCTTCGACTATAGGAGCTCCAAGACCCTTTATGGGGCTCAAACACATAATTTTCTGACAGAGGCAAAAGTGCAACCAACTGGGCCAGGCTGACACTCAGTGACTAAACTTCACATTAATTACTATGAAGTGCGTTGAGACCTCTCAACATTGTGATAAGATGCTCTCTCAAATGCAAGCATTATTATGATATATACTCATTATTATTACAGGTTACACTTTAATCCTGCATTAAGTTATTTGATAAAGTAATTAAAAGAATCTGAGGCACATGACAATGGTTTCCTTGGGCTAGTGAAAGAGGGCACGTCACAGGCCATTTCCTATCTGTGTTACTAACGTAATGGCACTTTTCCTGCACAGAGCAATGGACAACAGTGGAAAAAGAATATGATAGAACTGTTTTCTCTCCTTATTGCTAGTAGACATCCCTTTGAGAGATTATTCCAATGCTGAATGGAACATTTTACTTTAGGATGTACCAAGACAGTCGAAGAGGAGAACACAAGTTTAAAGTTGCAAAAGGCAATTTCATAACAGACACCAGGAATTTTTTCTTTATTAAGGGAGTAGTCAATGACTGGAATAGGTTGCCAGGCAGGGTGGGTTCAGTGCTTCTCATTTCTCTGGAAGTGGAACTAGCGAGGATTGTCTCTGGAAATGGCATGCTGGAATTCTGCATAAGTCCAATGAAGGAACACGAAAAGCTTAGAGGTCTTTTTCCCTGCATTGCACACATTGCTCGAGAGCAAAGCATCAATGGGAAATCTCTAAATGTCTAGATAATAGGAATTAAGGAACCAAAAGTCTTTGTCTCCAGCAGTTGTGTTTCAGCTGTTGCTGAACAAAGTATAGTTTAGCTATATCTTTTTTTATCATTGTCCTGTTTTTTTCCCCTGACATGCAATATGTGTAGAACACATTTAGCAGAAAACAGCTTCTATTAAATGTATCAGCTTCTTTGTAGATCTAATTCATAATTATTTTTACTTTCCAGGTTTGAAGAAAATCTTGAAAGTAGCTGGGCAGATCCCTGAGCTACCAAACTGCCTGCCTCTGACACAAAATACCTGCCTCACTGCCTCCATCCTTCTCAACAATATTTACTGTGACCTCAGATGTGATGAGGAAAGAGCCACTTTTCGAACGATCTGTGAAAACTACGTAACGTGAGTCAGGGTGATCCAACCTTTTGGATATCGAGGGCCAGATGCCACATTCGACAAATGACCGTGGGCTGCATGAGCAATATTTTTGTTTTTTCCTTCCACAAACATAAAATAATCATACAGAAATCCTCTGTTTTAAATTGTGTAATTATATTACTTAATAATGATCATCTCAATTGGAAATATATGCATCAAATGCTTTAATGTTTTAGAGTCAAAACGCAAGATATCAACTCAGCATATGGAGGCCCCTCCAGAGAATGCTCAACAAAACCAAAACAGATTAATCCATAATTGCAAAACTAACCCTGAACTCCTTCAACACAGATATGACTTGCAAGCAAACAAGGCACTGATGTCTTCTGTTACTTTCAATAAACAAGTTACACTGAAATCCTCTATTTTAAATAATGCTGATTGCATTGCGATAGGATAGCTGTTCTGTTTAAATTTTAATTTGCTCATCTTGTGCCCTTGTCTTAAAATTTAAGAACGCGGAGAATTTTGCACAAAAATTCTTAACTCCATTTCATTTCGAAGCTATTTGTCCTGTGCTACTCAAAAATGAACTGTGGACAATTGACTTCCAGATGAAGATCAAATTTAAGATTGTTTTGTAAAATTAGCCATGATTTTAAACAGTAAGACAAATGTCTTAAGCCTAAGAACATGAGAAATCTCAGGCCCCAAGATAAGGAGCATTAGTGCTGGGGAATGGACCACTCTTCCATATCACTGATATAGCCTCCCCAATATGAATTTCTTTGGCATTTTTATTTTATCTTATCCAATGAATGTGTTTGCACAACTTGCACAAGCTTTCAGAAGGGAACTAGATAAATATCTAAAAGTAACTAACCTACAGAGGTATGGGGAAAGGACAATTAAATGGGATTACAACAACAACAAGATTCCATTTATAGAGCGCCTTTCACGTCAGGAGGACGTCCCAAGGCGCTGTACAGTTGGGTCAGGGCCCGAGCAGGGGGGAAATGGTCAGGGTGAGGGGGAGGGGGCGAGGAGGGGTTAGAGAGTCGAGAGGGGAGCTGAAGGCACGGTCAAAGAGAAAGGTCTTGAGACCGGCCTTGAAGGAGGAAAGGGAGGAGGCGGCGAAGGCACTGGGGGTTAGAGTTCCAGAGCCTAGGGGCTGAGAGGCTGAAGGCCCGGCCACCGATGGTAGGGCGGTTGGGGCGGGGGATGTGGAGCAGACCGGAGCCAGAGGAACGGAGGGTACGGGCAGGTAGGTAGGGGGATAGTAGGTCGGAGAGGTAGGGGGGAGCAAGGCCGTGAATGGCCTTGTAGGTGAGGATGAGGATCTTGAATTCGAGGCCTTGTAGGTGAGGATGAGGATCTTGAATTCGGATTAGCCTTCTTCTGTGCTGTACATTTCTATAGTTCTTATAGTCATACATAATGCACCACATGACTGATAATCCAATTACTCAAAATATACTTCGCTAAGACTGAGATACTTTTGGTTTCAAAAACTCAAGAGCGTTTTGTATTTGGACTGCCATCAGCAGTAGCCTATAATCACTTTGGATTACTGGCACTTTTACTGCCAATGCTGAGCCAGCTAGACCAGCATACAGAAGCTTTGTTACAGTTCGACACGATATCTATTATTCCTTTGGTTACTGCATTACACAACATATCAGCTGAATGAAAGGTATCCTGTTTTAAAGCAACAGAGCTTCCTTAGATTGCAATGAACTTCTACCACATGATTTACATCTGAGCCTTAAGGAGGGTGTTTGAGTTACAGTTAAAATTCTAAGTACTCGTCAGCTATTTTGAGCATGCAATTATGAAATTGTTCCTGGTATAACATGGAGAGAATAGGCCTTGGCTTCTTTCAGGAAACAGCTTCATTAATAACTACAACAATGCCCCCAAACAGGTCCATCCAGTCCCTTAATATGTTTCAGTAAATGTTGTATGCATTTACGCAGGATCTAGAAAATTGAGTTTTTAATTCAAAGAGTGAAAAAAATACAACACTTCACCTGTTGAAACTGTTCAGGGTAATACAATTGGCAGAACTTAGGTGAAGCTGAAGTGTTTGTTCACCATTGTTGTTATTATGGCAGATACCGAACATGTACAAAATGTTATTCCATTTAATAATCAGCCATTAAAAGTGGGCCTTTAGGTAAATCGAAGTACTCTAGTTACACTGAACCTTACTGCTTCAGAAAGCTCACTGTGGCTGAACAGAGTAAGTAGGCAATAAACAAAGCAAACAGGATGTTTTGCTACATTTTCAATTGTATTAAAATCTCCTGATATTATGCTGTATCTGTACTGTGCACAGTTTGGTCACTGCGCCATGAAGCTATAGATAAGAACAATTAGGCTGGAGGGATGTTGGCAGGATCAATTGTAAAGAACAACTAAGCTAGGGCTCTTCAGCTTTGAAAAGAGAGGTCTCAGAGTGGTCCTTGAAGGGTTATATAATATATTTAGGTGTCAGCCTCGCTCGGTAGGCAGCACTCTTGTCTCTCAGTCAGAAGGCTGTGGATTTAAGTCCCACGTCAGGACTTTGAACTCATAAGTTAAAGCTGATATTCCAATCCTATGCTGGGGGAGCACAGCACTGGACGAAGAAGATAAACAGGTACAACATTGTCACAGGAAATGAGGGTATAGAGTTAGGTTTGTGAAGGGCAAGTTTAGACAGACACTGTTCTTTACACAGAGAGCAATTGACAGCTGGAGTAGGAAAGGTGTTTGAGAGTAGGACACTTTTAAGAAATATATTGATGTATTAATGACAAAACTCAATGTATTAATGAGTACAGTATATAGTACAGAGGGGATTTTGGAAGAATTAGAGTAAATACCTGAAGGACCTCTTTTATTTGAACCTCTTTTGTAATGATATAATAATTATCGTTCCTCTTGATATAGCACGCTTCAAAACATATCATGTTTCAAAACATATAAAAGTGCTTCACAGGATTTACTGTAAAGTACAGTAACTGTGTACTCTTATGACTCAGAAGCAAGAGTGCTACTAACTGAGCCAGGCTGACATCTAAATATCTTAAAAATTCTATAATACCCACTGTTAGACCTCTCATTTCAAAACTGAACACGGCAGCCAATTTGTGCAGAGCAATGTCCTACAAAGAGCCATGAAGTGAATGAATACATGAGAAGTATTTCAGTTTTGGTGGCAGTAGTAGTGGCATTGGAGACAGCATGACCTGGCAATAAATAAACTCGTCCCTTCCCACATGCAACAGGAAATAATCTTGCAATAAGTTATTACTGCACCTCATTTATTTAAATACGTGACCAACTTAGATAGATTTACATAGACCATGGAAACAGACAATCCAATCCAACCAGTCTGCGCCAGTGTTTATAATGCTCATGAGTCTCCACCGCCTCCTATGGAATCTTAGAAATGAAGGCATTTGGGCCTTTGAGGCTAAATTGGTGCTAGCTCATATTTCCTCATACATTTTTATGCCTACTCACAGACACCATAAACCTCTCCCTGTCCACGGGAATCATTCCCACCCCTTTAAAAACGTCAGTCATCATTCCTGTCCTTAAAAACCCTCCCTGGACCCATCTCCAACTTTCCTTTTCAAGGTCCTGGAACCAGTCGTTGCTTCCCAGCTTTGCTCCTTCCTCTCCTGCCACTCCCTTCATGAACAACAACAGCAACAACAAACAACAACAAAATTACATTTATAGAGCGCCTTTCACGTCGGGAGGATGTCACAAAGCGCTGAACAGTCACATGTCAGGGCCCGAGCATGCGGGAGGGGTGGAGTAGGGGTGAGAGAAGGCAGAGAGGTAGGAGGGAGACCAAGGCATGGTCGAAGAGAAGGGTCTTGAGACCGGCCTTGAAGGATGCAGGGAGGAAGCGTGGCGAAGGATGGAGTTCCAGAGTGTGGAGGCAGAGAGGCTGAAAGCCCGGCAACCAATGGTAGGGTGGGTCAGGCGGGACATATGGAGCAGGCCGGAGCTTGATGAACGGAGGGAGTGGGCAGGTCAGAGAGGTAGAATGGGGCAATGCCATGGATGGCCTTAAAGATGAGGATGAGGATCTTTAATTTGATCCTCTAGGGGATGGGGAGCCAGTGGAATCGGGTGAGGGTGGGAGTGATGGGGTCATGGAGCCTGGTGCGTGAGAGTACATGACCTGCAGAGTTTTGGATGATCTGAAGCTTGTGAAGGGAAGAGTTGGGAAGAACGATGAGGAGTGAGTTCCCGTAATCGAGCCTTGATGTGAAGAATGGATGGATGAGGCTTTCAGCAGCCTGAGGGGTGAGGCAGTGGCGGAGTCTGGCAATGTTACAGAGGTGGTGGTAGGCAGTGCCGGTCATGGAACGGATGTGGGGGAGAAAGGACAGTTCAGGGTCAAAAATAACACCCAGGTTCCTGACTGGCTCAGTGAGGTTGAATGTGCAGCCGTGGAGGCTGATGCTGCCAGTGTCTGAGGTGCGGAGGCACTGGTGTGAGCCAATCAGGAGGGCCTCGGGCTTGCTGACGTTGAGTTGAAGAAAGTTAGCCCTCGTCCAGGACTTGATGTCGGACAGGCAGTCGGTCAGGACGCCAGTAGTCCTGGAGTTCAGGGCGGAGGCAGAGAGGTAGAGTTGGGTGTCATCCGCATACATGTGGAAATTTACCCCATGTCTGCGCATGACATCACCAAGGAGGAGCATGTAGAGGGTGAAGAGGAGGGCACCGAGGACAGAGCCCTGAGGAACACTGCACGAGACAGTGCGGGGGCTGGAGGACAAACCGTTTGCCACGACGAAGTGGAGGCGGTGTGAAAGGTAGGACCTGAACCAGTCCACTCAAATTTCCGTGCTGCCCACAGCACAGAAACAGCTTTGGTCAAACTGACAAATGACATTTTGTCCATCTGCGACCAGGGCTCCCTCTGCCTTATTGTCCTACTTGACCTCTCTGCTACCTTCACTACCGTTGACCACTATATCCTCCGCCACCGCCTCTCCTCTCACCTCAACCTTCATGATTCTGTCCTTGAATGGTTCAGATCCTACCTCTCACACCGTCTCCACTTCATCTCCATAAACAGCTTCTCCTCTAGCCCCCACACCATCTCATGCGTTGTTCCTCAGGACTCTGTCCTTGGTCACCTCCTCTTCAATATCTATATGCTTCCTCTTGATGACATCATCTGCAGACATGGGGTCAACTTCCACATGTATGTGGATGACACCTAACTCTATCTCTCTGCCTCCACCCTCGACTCCAGGACCACTGCTGTCCTGACAGAATGTCTGTCAGACATCAAGAGAGCTAACTTTCTACAGTTGAATGTCAACAAGACTGAGACCCTCCTGATTGGCTCCCGTCAGCACTTCCACAACTCGGGCACTGACAGCATCACCATCCAAGGATGTATACTGTACCTCACCGAGCCAGTCCAGAACCTTGTCATCTTGTTTGACCCTCAACTGTCCTTACTGCCCCACATCCATGCCATCACCTGCTCTGCCTTCACCCACCTCCGTGACATCGCCCGGCTCCACCATTGTCTCACACCGCAGGCTGTCGAAACCCTCAAACATACATTCGTCACCTCAAGGCTTGATTACGGGAACTCCCTCCAGGCTCGACTACACAAACTCTCTGCTTGTCGGCCTCACCAACTCCTTCCTCCATAGGTTGCAGATCATCCAGAACTCTGCTGCTCGTGTCCTTTCCTGCACCAGGCTCTGCGACCCTATCACCTCCATCCTCACCCGAATCCAATGGCTTCCCATCACACAGGGGATCCTGGTTCTCACTTTCAAAGCCCTCCATTGCCTTGCTTCCCCCTATCTCTGCGATCTCGTAACCATGTACCAACCTGCCTACTCCCTCTGCTCTGAGGGCGCCGCCTGCTCCATGTCCCTTGCCTCACCCGCTCCACCATTGGCTGGCGGACCTTTAGCCACTCAGCCCCCACCCTCTAGAACTCCATCCCGCAGTCCCTCTGCCTCGCCCCCTCCCTTGCCTCTTTCAAGACCCATTTCAAGACCCTCTCTTCGACCGTGCCTTCTGTCATCCTCCTTCCCCCCTGCCCTCTGCTGTCCCCGATCCTGACCCCCAGCTCGGGTCTAAAACACTGATTGTCCAGTGCCTTGGGACCTCCTCCCGATGTGAAAGGCCCTATTCAAATGTAATTTTGTTGTTGTTGTTATACTCTCCCTCTTCAAATGCTTATCCAATTTCCTTTCAAATGTTAAAAAGCACTCTGAGACACTACCTTTCGTGAAGGCCGCTATATAAATGCAAGTTGTTGTGGTTATTAAAGCTTTTGTTGCCATGGTGTCAACTTCAGTAACCATTTGTGGCAAAGCGTTCCATGTTCCGACTAATTCCCTCTTCGTGAAAAAAATTATTCTGATCTCCTCTCCAATTCCTCCCCAGCATAGTGATGTGCATTTTTCTGCTTTTGGACATTGCAGGAGCAAATTTGACCCTCACAACATGGAAAAGAACCTGAATGCAATCCAGACCACATCAGCACTCCTTCAGGGTCCCTTTGATGTCGGCAACAGCATTCTGGGCATGCCGGGCGTAATGGAGATGATGGTTGCCTTGTGCAGTTCAGAGAGAGAAATTGACCAACTGGTGGCAGTAGAGGCACTCATCCATGCCGCAAGTAAAGCTAGCAGAGCCAATTTCATTATTAGCAATGGAATCACCTTACTGAAGAACATGTACAAGCAATCAACTATTGAGAAGATTAAAATCAGAGCACTGGTGGTAAGTTGTTCTGAACAGCCTCAGTGCTTTATTGGCTTTGAGGAATCTAAGAGTAGTCCTTTGGAAGAGCAATGAAACTGCTGCCTCCAGTTTTGACACATACAAACACGATGTAATAGGTCCACCCCTTTCATAGCTTGTAAGAGCATTTTCTTTTAAAAATTTGCAAAATAATTTGAAAAAATTACAATTCTTGCATTTGGTAGAGCTTCCCAAATTGGGAAGAATTTCAAAGCGCTTCACAGGATATTCTGTAAAGTGTAGTGACCATGCAGTTTATAGGTGAATGTGGCAGGCAATTTGCACACAGCAATGTCCCATAAACAACTATGAAGAATGACCAATTTTATCTGGAAGAGTGTTGGGCAGGTCACCAGGAGAAACTCCCCTTTTTGAATAGTGCCATGGGATCTTTAACAACCACCCAAATAGGTCAATGGGACCTCAGTTTAATGATCCATCCAAAGGACAGCACCTCCGGCAATGCAGCGTTCCCCCAGCCCTGCATTGGAATGTCTGCTTAGACTGTGCCTTCCACTATGGTAAATATTGCTGTGTTGCAAGTTTCTGAATAAATCAAGTATCACCACACTTTTTCATGAAGAACACAGCCTTTTAATCACTGATTTCCCTATAGTCATACATGCAAAACTCCAGTTCTTTTAAAATTCTTCCTGCTGTTCTGCAAAAGTGGATTATAAAAGAATTTCTAAAATAAATTCCATGGAATATTTTTAGCACTTGCTACTAATGCTGCTTACTTACTTATCCAGATATATAAGAACATTTGAATATCTCTTGAGAATACAAACTAGGTTATTTTGTTAATTCCTGTGTTCTGCTGCTGAAGTAACAGAAGAGAGAGATTGATAAAATATCAATTATTATTTTAATTGAAATCTCATTTCAATCTGTATCGATTGCAACTTTACTCAATGGTGATTTAATACATTTTTGGAATAGTGCAAGTCTTGTTGCTTGAAGTATTCATCTATTGGTATTAAATACATTTAAACTTTGATTTGTGTTCCCAATAAGGGCCTATGCAAGCTTGGTTCAGCTGGAGGCACTGACTATGGTTTGAGGCAGTTTTCTGAAGGATCCACAGAAAAGCTTGCAAAACAGTGCAGAAAGTAAGTACTCCATATCAAGTGCTACTTGCTGCCACATAGTGGCTTCAGTATGATGGATTACTGATTTTTTAAAGCAATTGTAACCCATGATTCCTATGCTAAATTGTTTTGCTCAGCTCCAAGCAGTGCACTTAAGGTGCAAGCTACAAAGCAGTGATTTTGTCACTGACCTCATTCCCCACCCCGACACACACACACAGAAACGCACAGTGATTGCTCCAGGAGGATTGAACTCATCTGTGGCACTTTAAGTGCTGAACAACACAGCATGTGATCAGGTGGTTTGTGCAAGCATTAGAATTCTCAACCTGTGGGGGGGAAAAATCCTTCTGTCACAAATCTCGCTTTAGGCTTGTTAATGTTCTGTGATAGTGTTTCCTCTCTGTCACCATGGCAAAATGCCAGCATGCCAATGTAATGACCAAGTGAAAATGCATGCAGATTACATTAATTCATATTTATTAGATCATAGAAAATAGTCAGGGCCTCTACTTATTAATAAAGACACATTCTGAGGCTGTGAGACCATTAAGAACCAAGGTGTATCAAAGTGGCGACTAGTATATTAAAAAATAAATAAAAATCCCAGAGTTCTGAATTCATCTCAGCTAATATGATTCTCGTAAGTATGAAAACTAACTTGCACTCCACAGTTGGGCAACTGATAATTGACTAAAATCCTAGCTGTCATCACAACTACTTCAAATTGGTTGCTGTCTCTAAATTATAAAGTAAAATCATTACAATGATACTTTTAGAAGCATTATTATAATGTAGATGGAATTCATTTTTATTAGATCATGGAAAATAGTCAGTGTGCAATCTCCTACAAGCAGCCATAAAGTGAATAACCAATTTTATCTGGGGGATTGTTGACCAGGACACCGGAAGAAATTCCCTCTTGTTTTTAATAGTGCCATGGGATCCCTCACATCCACCTGAACAGGCAGTTAGGTTCTCAGCTTAGTATTTCTTCTTCACTGAAATGTCAGCCTAGGCTGTGAGCTTAATCCCAACATGGGGTTTGAACCCTAGTCCTTTTGACTCGGGAGCAAGAGTGCTACCAACTGAGCCATCAAATATGAATGGAGTAGAAGTCTAGACATGCATATTACTTGATCTCAATTACTGCATTGCTTACATTTAAAAGAAAAACCTGTTTGTGAATTACATCCCATGCTTTTGCAATTCATACAATTGAATTTTGTCTACAGGTGGCTGTGCAATCCGAACATTGACAATACCACCAGAAAGTGGGCTGTTGAAGGGATGGCCTACCTGACTCTCGATGCAGACGTGAAGGACGATTTTGTCACGGATGAAGCATCAATGCAGGCGATGTTTGATTTATCAAAGGTGAAAATTCATTATCATCTTCAATTGACTGTCAATAGAGATGAATCTAATGTTCAACAATATCTTCCTATACAATTAGGAAACTCCCAGAGCAATTTTCGGACAGATTCAAGACAGCCACCAGTAACTTAGTTAGTTGTGACCACATAGTGTTAGTGGCCATAGTTGTTGATTACTTTTCAGTGATGCCTGGTGAGATAGTGGGTTAAAATTACCATTGATGATTATCACATCACAAGTTCCAGTTTCATCCCAATGGTTCTTAATGGAAGGATGTTATTTTTTGAGCGCAAGATAATTGGAAGAAAAGTGTCATGTGAATGGACTGAAAGGTCTGCTTCAATGTTCGGACTCTCTCTTTCTGAGTCCAACAACTGCGTTCACAACTTGTCGAAGTATCCATTGTACCATTCAAGTAGATATGGGTTCATTTTATCTTTCTACTAGCTCTATCCGTTGCAGCTACGCTTGTAACCAAAGGATCCAATATGGAATGTAGATTGACACAGACAGACACACAGACAGACATTTCATCTTTATCTATACTCATCTGGGAGGACTCCTGTGGGAGGACACATTTTGACCATGCTGTTCTTTGAGTGGGCAACTCATTTTGGCACACTGGTGCAGTCCTTTCAGCATTGAAGTGCAGCCGCGTTATTCTTTGATCTTCAGTTTCATTTAATGGGCCTTCTCTGTTTTGTCTAACATTCTTACTTATCCTTGAAAGGTTTGATATTCACTCAGGCATCTTTATAATGATAAATATAGATGTATAATTTACAATCATTAGGACGTCCTCCCGACCTGAAAGGCTCTTTAAAAATGTAATTCTGTTTTTGTTGCCGTGGCTTAGCTTCATCTGGGTTCTTTATTTTGTTCCTGCCGCCGCTTGACTATGTGCGTGCTCTGTGACGTATGATGCCACAGCACTGCTTTGACTCGGCGGCAACCAGGTGTAACTGCAGCACAAAACTGAAATAAAATTTTGGGTCACAACTCATGAAAGATAGGATACCCGAACAAATATGCCCATGTCACTCCTAGGTGCAAGACCTTCCCGATGAGGTCTAGATCATGTCTCTATGTCAATCAGTTATTGAGATCCTTCTCGAAGCTCACACAGACAGACATTGTCATTTTATTAGTATAGAAGATAGATAGATGGAAGATTATTAGAATAATCAATAATTTAGACATTTCATTATTTCTGTCATTGTGGGAATTAGCTTTGTTCTATACAATCCCATCCTTGCCCAACTCCACTGGCTTCCCATCACACAGAGGATACAGTTCAAGATCCTGTTCCTCACCTTCAAAGCCCTCCACGGTCTTGCTCCCCACTACCTCTCCGACATCCTAACCCCCTACCACCCTGTTCGCTCCTTCCGCTCAGCGAGCTCCAGCCTGCTTCACAGCCCCCGCCTTCCTCGCCCCACTATCGGCGGACGGGCCTTCCGCCACTCTGCACCCAGCCTCTGGAACTCCATCCCGCAGTCCCTCCATCTCGCCCCCTCCCTCACCACCTTCAAGACCCACCTCAAGACTCTCCTCTTCGACCATGCTTTCGAACTCCCTGCTTTCCCACCCCCCCACCGTCCCCGCTTCTCCACCCCGACTCTCAGCTCGGGTCCATAACTTTGTTGTCCAGCGCCCTGGGACGTCCTCCCTATGTGAAAGGCGTTACATAAATGTCATTTTGTTGTTGTTGTACAATAGAATACAATATTTTGTAAAGTTTTCTTGTGTTGGCATCAGTGAAGTCATATGGGAGTGTCTGAAGTCTGCAAATAGTCAGTACAGTACTGTACAGTGCCTAGTTGTCAGCTGGTTTCTGGGTTCTGCTTCCAAGTCAGAAGGTTGAAAATTCAAGTCCCACGTCAGACTTGTGCTCAGAGTCTTGGCTGTTACTCCAGTGCAGTAATGGGAGAGTGCTTGATCATTTTAAAAATTAAATGCACACATCACACCCAAGTCAAACTGTGCAACTCTCAAACATGAATACGGCTTACACTATTTTGCTTGTGTTTGTTCTCTCTCTCTCTCTGACAGACTGCTGACAAGACTATCCTTTATTCTGTGGCCTCTATCCTGGTGAACTGCACAAACAGCTATGACATAAAGGAAAAAATACCAGAGCTGGTTCAGCTGGCAAAATTAACCAAACAGCATGTGCCTGAAGACCATCCGAAGGTAGTCATTTAATTCATGGCTATTTGTGGGGCATTCCCATGAACAAATGTGCTTCTGTGTTTGCCAACAAAATACACAGTCATTACATGTTACAGTGAATCCTGTAGGCTTATATGAACACATACAACACCTTTCGGTATGTAGGGGATTGGCATTATAATTTAGATTGATATAGTGCCTATTGCTCCAGGAGGACGTCTGAAAGTATTTAAATACACTTCAACATTTCAATTAAGAAAAAAATTTGCAGTCATATTAATTACAATATCAATTTTGTTCATCATGGAATAATTTTAAATACAAACCAATTGTCTGTTGCATTTACAGGACAAAAAGGACTTTGTGATGAAACGTGTGCAGCGGCTGATCAAAGCTGGTGTCGTCTCAGCATTAGCAGTCATGCTGAAAGCTGACAGCGCTATTCTTACTGATGAAACCAAAGAACTCATGGCAAGGTACAAGGTTCCTTACTGTTTGCTTAGCCCCGTACAGGGGAGGTCATGAAGAATTAGATCCTCAAACAAGTTGCTAAACAGGTTACCCCTGGCATTCATTGTCCATGTCACATTCTTTCATCCACTCCCTCCCTGAAGTTCCTCTCGTCTTAAGATTTCAGTTCTTCAGGAAGAGACAACCTGTTATCACATCAGCATTTTGCTGTGTGCAAATTGTCTCCTACACATACACAGTCACTACACTTGATAGAACCTTTGTGAATCAAGAGATTCAGATGTTCTTGACGTCATAGGTTCTGTATCAAATGGAAAGAGTGTTGTCACCAAATCTGCACCAAGACAATACTCGCTTTGCAAGCGAGAGACCCGAGTTCAATTCCAGGCAGGGCGAAATCTTGGGCAAGTTTCCTTACTCCACACACCTAATAATAATCCCTCCAAAACCAAAAACAATAATAAATTGGTCATTTTCAATCGACAACTGTTTGTGGGACATTGCTGTGCGCAATTGGCTGCCGCGTTCGCCCACAAAAAAAATACGCGTTCGCCCACACAAAAAAAATGCAAGGATTATTATTATTACATTGGGATCGTATCAACAACAACAAGATTACATTTGTATAGCGCCTTTCACGTCGGGAGGACGTCCCAAGGCTCTGGACAAAGTTCAGCATTTCAGACCCGAGCTGTTTAATATCTTAAATATTATATTAAGGGTTTAATATCTTAAATATGATATTTACAAAACAAATCTGTTGTGTTTGTGAAAACAGTATCAGTTTTGAAACTTGTAGTTACATTCGTGAACAGTGAATCCCAAGGAGTCAAAGATAAGAACATAAGAACACATGATAAGAACATAAGAATTAGGAGCAGGAGTAGCCCAATCGGCCCCTCGAGCCTGCCCCGCCATTCGATAAGATCATGGCTGATCTTCAGACCTAACTCTAATTACCTGCCCTATCCCCATATCCCCTATTCCCTCTATTTTTTAAAAATCTATCAGTCTCAACCTTGAAGATGTTCAAGGACTGAGCATCTACAGCCTTCTGGGGTAGTGAATTCCATAAATTCCATAAATTCACTATCCTCTGAGTGAAGAAATGTTTCCTCAACTCTGTTCCAAAAGGCTGACCCTTAATTTTAAGACTGTGAGCCCTGGTTATAGATTCTCCTACCGGGGAAACAGCCCCTCAGTGTCTACTTTATCCAGCCCTTTAAGAATCTTATATGTTTCAATGCATCACAGGTTTCTTACTTTCTCAGCTTGTATAATAAATATAATCTTGACATTTGATATTGCACCTTTAATGTTGAAATATCTCAAAGATCTTTACAGTAGTTCCTGTTAAGTGTAGTGATGATATTTGTATTCTGATGCTTGTGATTGGAATTGAGACCTCACCTTCATGAAAACCTGAAATGTATGAGTTCTAAACAGAACCCAAATACTTATGATTCCATACGTTCCACTTGTGTGGTAAGATGCATATAAGTTGATTCAGATTTTAGAAGTGCAGTAGAGCTATTCGTATGCTGTTGCACATCCACATGCAATTTCACCTTTGAGTCAGAAAGTTGTGGGTTCAATAATAATGATAATCCTTGCATTTGATATAGCACCTTATCATGTCTTCAAGACGTCTCAAAGCGCTTCACAGAATATACTGTAAAGTGAATTGACTACATTATGTGCGCAAAATGTGGCAGACAATTGCGCACAGCAGTGTCCCACAAACAGTGACCAATTTATTATTTTTTTTAAGGAATGATTACTCCCGGAAAAGCAATCCACCAATTGACTAACAACCGGGTTTCTACTTCCTGCTAGGTAAACAGAGGCGTTTGGAGTAAGAAAACTTGCCCAACGTTTCACCCTACCAGGAATCGAACCCAAGTCTTTTGCTTGCGAGACGAGTGCTCTAACTACTAAGCTACAGGACTCCACAAAATTGACCCCTTATTTTCCACAATTTTATTCAGCCCTATGTCGAGACTTTGCACAGGCTGTCATTACAATGCAATGTATTGTCAAAAGTGCTGCTCTTCAGATGAGACTTTAAACTGAGCTCCTGCCTGCCTTTTAAGGCAGTGTTAAAGATCTCATGGCACTTTTCAGAAAGAGAAAGGAGTTTCTCTCAGTGTCCTGGCAAACAGTCCCCTGGATAAAAATTGGTCACTCACTTCATGGCTGTTTGTATGACTTTGTGCAAATTGTCTGTCGTGTTCGCCTACAAATTAAAATAATACTGTATCTCCTTGTGTTCTGGCTCTGTAGAGTATTCCTTGCCTTGGCTGAGGACGTTCGAGATCGTGGCACAATCGTGGCTCAGGGCGGTGGAAAGGTAAGGGTCCGTTTTGTTGGAGTAAATGTTGTATCGTTCCAGTATGTCAAGCAATAGGACACGGATTGGGGCAGGCAATCTTCCCACTCGGCTCATGTTAACCCTGGAAACCCAATCCCTAAAGGATTAGCGTGGTCCTAGCTGGACAAGTAAGTTTGCCAGATAAAGCAATAGGAAATGTAAAAGCTGCTGCATTATACAAATACATTGTAAAATCGAATGTGTACATTGTCAGTTCAATTATTTTAAACTGGAATTGTAATATGGGTAATATGGAAATGGCTATTAAAAATTAATGGGTGAGAAACACAACATTTCATAACAACAACAACTTGCACTTACATAGTGCCTGCCACACAGGGTAGCATCTCAGAGTGCTTTAACAGTGGCGGAGCCTGACTCCGAGCCGGTGTGAAGGGAGAGATAGCAAAGAGATATTCATCACACCAAATCCATTTTGAAATATTATAGCTCATTTAAGGCCCCAAATTCCACATAGTCTTAGCCTGAGATTGCACACAATTGTATGGAAAATTCTTAAATTCAGCCTTGATTTGGAAGCTGTTGTTCCATAATTCTTAAAAATAAACAGGTTTCCAAATTAAAACAATGCAACATTTATGTTCTGTTATTGAAAGGAAATTGTAACAGGCAGATCTCCGTTAATGTAACACAGAATTACTGCCAGAGCCAGTATTCTCTTAGTGAAGAGCATGTCTCCCTTTGGTTGTCATGGAAAGCAATGCCAGGGTCCAGGTAAAGAAGGAAGGATGGGGAATAGAAAGTGTAACAAGAGCAGGATGAAAAAATGAAAAGATTTAGAAAGAGCGGATGAATCTGCATGCTGTAAATACAATACCGACTTGTTTACAATTAGTCATTTGCTTCATTTGATGTGCTCAAATTGGTTGCCGTGTTTGCCCACAAAATACAGTCACTCCACTTCACAGTGTATCCAGTGAAGCCTTTTAAGACACCTCAATGACGTGATGAGGCGTTGTTCCAAAGGGAATGGATTATTATTTGTTATTATTTGTTCACACTCTGTCTTCTCTTATTCAGACTCTATTGCCTCTTGCTCTACAAGGTACGGATGTTGGTAAAATCAAAGCTTCCCATGCACTTGCAAAGATTGCTGCCACATCCAATCCAGACATTGCTTTTCCTGGTGAGAGGGTAAGTGAAAGGCAACTTATGGTAACTGGACAAAGAATTTATGAGGGATTCATGGGCAATAGCCAGGGATGAATACTCTAACCTGCACTAGTTCAGATTCTGTCAGTCTGGCTCAGTGATAGCTTGCAGACCCAGCATGTGTGTTAGGTTATTGCTGGAGTCTAACCATCTAAACCCTATAGTTTGCTACTGAAAGCATTTCTTGCAATCTTTCCCCTGTGTGTTCAGCTAGGACCACACTACTAATTGGAGTTTGGGCTTACACGTTAATAGAACCCAAATGGGAAGCTCCCAATGAAGGGTCTGCTCTCCAAGTCCAGTCAATGAGCCAGACTGGCTGGTCTGACATGAACAGTGCCCTGGAGTTCTGCAGACCTGCCCAACTCAGGAACAGTATTACCGAGACCATCACTCCGTTGACTTGATTCTGATTGCCATTCAGCTCAGCTCTGAGGAGATGCCTTCCCCCTCCCCAAGGAGGAAAGTCACTAGTTGGTCAATCTTGGTTGGTCCTCTTCAGAACAAATCTTGCATCTTGCAAACCTTGCCTGCCCTCTCCTGTTCTCTTCTCCCCCCTCCCCCTCTCCTCCCCCACCATTACAAGCATTTAAGGTGTGATAAAATAAGGGAATTTAAAATATTACTTTACTACTGTGCATAGATTTAACGTCACAGTGTTTCAACTGTTTTTCAGATCTATGAGGTGGTGAGGCCTCTTGTCACTCTGTTGAACATGGACCGAGATGGTCTGCAGAATTATGAAGCACTAATGGGGCTCACAAACCTGGCTGGAAAAACTGATAAACTAAGGCAAGTTCAGGTTTCTGACATTATTATATTATTATTTTTTACACTTTTATTATCTTATTAGTTTGATATTATTATTGTTTGCATTAAATTATTTATGACATTATTACAAATATAGGAACAGGAGTAGGCTGTTCAGCCTTTCGAGCCGGTTCCACCATTTAATTAGATCATGGCTGATCTGTACCTCAACCAATCCTTTCAATTCCAATTTCCCACTTTCTCTCCATATCCTACATTATTATTATATTTTTATCATTATTTTTGACATTACAGTAACGTCGAGGACATACTTCCAAAGAAAATATCAAAATAATCTCAGAGTTAAAGATATGATGAACTCCTGATAACTCGTCACTCCAAGGAAAAGGGGCTTAGTGCTGAGTTAGCAGCAGTGGTGAGTTAGGCATATATGTAAGTACATAAATAAATGCAGCCAGACAACATTAATATTGACAACATTAATATTAATATTTTAACATTTCACCCACAAAATAGTCAACCCACTTTGCAGTATATCCTGTGAAGCGCTTTGAGATGTCTCAACAATGTGATGAGGCGCTATATCAAATGCAAGGATTATTAACACGATGACTTAAGTGGTAGAGACACGTTAAGCCGGGGTCGAGTTATCAGGAGTTTACTGTATATTACTATTGACATTATTACAGTATTTATGATATAGCTATTACTTTTGACATATTTTTATTATCATTGTTATTCTTGTTATTACACTTTTGTTTTGAGTTACACAGGATTAGTGGCAGAGTGGTATCTGTAGAGTCATACCCAGCATGGGTTTGTGCCTTCAGGAACAAAAGTGACATAAACCTATTTTTTAAAATTTTAAGTTTAAAATGCTGGACAGGCTAATAGCCCATGGGCTAAACATGTTGAAATGGACACGTGTGCCTTAATTGTGTAATTATTCACCAAGAAAAGGATCACAGTTCATTCTGTAAACCTTTTCATTGGTTAATTACAGTTGTCTGAACTGATGCAGTGTACCGACAGTATTTCAGACAGTTATTTTTAAATTGTTTGGATACACAAAGTTTTATCCTTGATAATTAACCACTATCTCAGCTGGTAGCACTCTCGCCTCTGTGTCACTAGATATAGGTTCAAGCTCCACATTGGGACTTTGAGCTCACTATCTACGCTGACATTCCAGTGCAGTGCATGTGCCACTGTAGATAATTATTTGGGGAGGACAAGTTTGCAGGGCTATGGGGAGAGAGCAGGGGAGTGGTATTGATTTGGATAGCTCTTTTAAAAGAGCCAGCACAGACACGATGGGCCGAATGGCCTCCTTTTGTGTGCTCTATAATTCTATGATTCTAGTGCTTGGGGAGTGCTTCAATGTTAGAGGTGCCGTCCTTCAGATGAGACATTAAACCGAAGTCCCGTCTGCCTGTTCAAGTGGATGTTAAAGATCCCATGGCATTATTCAGAAGGAGAAGGAAGTTTTTCCTGTTGTCCTGACCAACAATTTTCCTGATACTTCATGGCTCTTTGTGGGTCACTGCTATCTGCAACTTAGCTGCAGCATCCATCTGGAAATCATTACACTTTACACAAAATCTCTGTGAATCACTTTATCATGATCAGGCACTATATCAGATATAGGGGTTATTATTATAACCTTTTAATAATTTCATCTGGATGCTTTTCCTGCTCAATTATGCCGCAATACTGAACCCGCATTGCCAGAACCCCACCCAACTCCCACCTGCTACATAATATATTTAAACCACTGAACAATGAGAGACCTTTATAGTTTTCAAACTCCGCACATCTTTTCTTTCATGCAACAGCTGCTAAAGTCAGTTTGGTCATCATGCAACCATTCCTCGGGAGAAGGGAGTTTCTCCCCGGTTCCCTGGCCAACAATCCCCGAAATAAAACCCCATGGCTGTTTGTGGAGCTTTCCTCTGCACAATTGGGCTGCCCAGTTCGCCTACAAATACACAGTTACTACACATCACAGTGAATTCTGTGAAGTGCTTTGAAACATCCTTCTGATGTGAAAGGCGCTATACCAAATGCAAGTATTATTGTTACTGTAGATTTCAGTGGAGTAAGAGAAACATGCAACAGCAACAACTTGCATTTATATAGCACCCCTCACGTAGGGTGGCATCCCAGAGTGCTTGACAGTGGAAGAGCATGACGCCAAGCCAGGTGGAGGGAGGAGATAACGGAGCCAAGGGGAGGCATGATCAAAGAGGAAGGTCTTCATGTGTGACTTGAAGATGGGGAAGAAAGGGACAAGGTAGAGGAAAGAGTGTTCCAGAGTTTTGGTACACAGTGGCTGAAAGTGCAGCCACCGATCGTGGAATGGGAAGTACATACACACTGGTTGGTGCAGAAAGTTCAGACACACTGGTTTTAAATTTGCAGCGGTCACCAACATTTCGGATTCGGATACTAAGTTGTCCTGCATTGTGCAGCTTTGACATATCAATGTGTCCCCAGAGACAATGACAGCTGCACTCTAAAAGAGCCGAGGCCTGGGACAGCTGATCAGATAATCATTTCAAGTCTGGATGAAATGTAGCAGGGAGAAACCAATAAATTAGTCAAAGAAATGTTTCCTGAGGAATTACGTGCCTTTGAAATGTTTTTTGTTTGTACGTCATGCAATTGTGAAGAAAAGGAGGCAATGATAAATTACACGAGCAGCTGAGTGCTCCACAGGTTAGGAACCAACTCTAAATAATTAGAAACACAAAAATAATCAATTGACACACAAACAATATCGGTCGCTTTGCCTCTTACATAAATTATATTTCCTGCTGTCTTTTTTTACCCACGTGTGTAGGCAAAAGATAATTAAGGAAAATGCTATGCCAGATATTGAAAACTACATGTTTGAGGATCATGATCAAATCCGACTCGCAGCTACTGAATGTATGTGCAATATGGTCATCTGCAAAGAAGTAAGTATGGCTGAAATTGGCAGAGGAATGTAATGTACAGCAATGTTGCCCACTTTACAATGTATCCTCCCAATGTGAAAAGCGCTATACCAAATGTAAGGATTATTATTAATTTATCATCAAAGGCTTTGTCAAACTTAAAGGTAGATCATTTTTATTTAGATTTCTAATGGTTTCAGAAATGGGAATAAACTAGATGGCAGAGGTGCTTTACTGGAAAATCTTTGCCTTAGAAAATGCCTTATTGAATTTGTTCTGTGTATTATGGAGGACATTGGATGACGTCTACATGGAAACAAGTGTTATGTCAACTAAACTGCAGACAAAATATGGCTAGGTTTAATATCTGGTAAACGTTTGCCGAATTACCAGAAACCTGCTTGAATTGCTTTGTTTCTCATAACCTACATGGTACAGAATCTGTTCCTGTCAGAATCACTCTACCAGTTATGAGTTTTATTTGATTTTCATGGTTTTTGGCTTGCAAATTTGCTTTGGATTAGTGCCGACTCATCTGGCATCAGAGGCATTGTCTCTCGAGTCAATTCACACCCAAGGAAAGTCAGTGCAATATCAAAGTAATCTAGGTGTTGAATATACAGTAAACTCCTGATAATTAGTCACTCCCAGGAAAAAGATGAGTCATCCAGAATGGCAAGAAAGTCATATGTATACATAAATAAATGCAATCAGAATACTAACAGTATGATGACTTAAGTGGTTAAAACAGGATCGAGTTATCAGGAGTTTATTGTCAGTTGTTTTGAATATGCAACTTAATAATAAAAAAAATCCCTGCATTTGATATAATGCTTTATCACATTGTTAAAACATCTCAAAGCGCTTCACAGAATATATTGTTAAGTAGATTGACTGAATATTTGTGGGTGAAACGCAGCAACCAATTGCGCACAGCAGTATCCCACAAACAGTTGTGGATTAAGTGACCAAATTTAAAAATAAATATTTATCATTGATAATGATAACTTGCATCTAAATAACACCTTATGTGATAAAAACATCTCAACGCGCTTATGTTTATAAAAAGCCCTATATAAACTTACACAGAAGGGTGGAAGATTGAGATTAGATGGACCGAAGGGCCTTCTTCATCCACTCAAACCTTATCATCTTTGAGTATTGATACAATGGAAAGGTCTTGAGTAACAATCCATTGAGCTGTGACATGGGTCTGTATTGTAGGCTCAGGAGAGGTTTGTGCCTGAAGGAAACGACAGAATGAAGCTGCTGGTACTGCTGTGCGGGGAGGATGATGTGAAGCTCCAGCGGGCTGCAGCCGGAGCCATTGCTATGCTCACCTCTTCCCGGAAGGAACTTTGCTTCAGGATGACAACCTCGGTGAGTGGCTAACCTAACTAGACCATCATTGATTAATGTAGGACTGCAACCTACCCCTCCTACAAACTGCATAGTCTCCTCGGACATTGGCGGACATAGGGCAAGTGAAGCCCAGTGGACAACAGCAACAACAGAATTACATTTGTATAGCACCTTTCATGTTGGGAAGACGTCCCAAGGTACTGGAAAATCAGTGCTTCGGACTCGAGCTGGGCATCGGGATCAGGAAGGGTGGAGAGCAGGGGGGGAAGGAGGGTGATTGAAGGCACGGTCGAAGAAGGGGGTCTTGAAGGGGGCAAGGGAGGGGGTGAGTTGGAGGGCCTGCGCAATGGAGTTCCAGAAAGTGAGGGCAGAGTGGCTGAAGTCCTGCCCGCCAAAGGTGGGTCAGGCAGGGCGGGGGACGTGAAGCGGGCCAGAGCCCGTTGAGTGGAGTGAGCGGGCTGGTTGGTAGGGGGTTAGGTGGTCACAAAGGTAGGAGGGAGCAAGGCCATGAAGGCTTTGTGTTTTTGTCCAGAATTTTTTAAAAAAGTATTCATTTGATTGCTCTCTCCTCTCTATCCATTCTGATGCAGTGATTTGTGAGGAAATAGGTAGATAGAGAAATTGGATTGGATGCATTGCTTTTCAATGAACCAGCACAGACACAAATGTGTGTAGGTGTGTGTAGAAGTGAACACACAAGCCTCCACCCACTGCTTACTCCCTCCCATACCCTTCTGTACTCCTATCCCTAATGTGTATATCTAGCTTCCTCTTAAATAAAATTGGTCATTCACTTCATGGCTGTTTGTGGGAAATATCTGTGCCAAAATTAGCTGTGGCATTTGTCCAAAAACTAACAAATCCAGTGAAACACTTTGACACATCTCGACGATATAATAAAGCGCTATATCAAATGCAAAGATTCTTCTTCTAATGTCCCCGATAACCAACTATGCAGAGGGCTGACCCACAGGAACTTTACTCCAATGCAAATTGTGCCAGTCAGTGTGACTGGTGTGATAAATCCAATTACCATCAAGGTTCAGTATTTATGGATAGTTTTCAAATCCTATTGCGATTCCCAATTCTCGACCCCTGTGGCACTTAACTGTAAACAGCGTGCATCTGTGTGCATGTGCATCTATGTGGAAATGTTCTTAAATTCCTCATAGCTTATTCTGTTTAAATTGTAGACGACTCAGTGGCTGGAGATCTTGCAAAGATTATGTCTGCATGATAACGTGGAACTCCGACACAGAGGGCTGGTCATTGCCAACAACCTGATGATTGCCGACAAGGAGCTTGGCAAGCTGCTGATTGAGAGCGAGCTGCTGGAGATCCTGACCGTCATCAGCAAGTTGGAAAATAACCCGAAGCGGCAGCACTGTATTAATGTGGCCCGCGAATGCCTTGGGAAAGCCATGGATTATGGTTTTATTAAGCCACTCTCCTAGCCTGCACAACATAAGGGAAATCAGTACGCCGATTAGATAGGAAACCTGATAGACACCCTGCAAAACAGTTAATTATTGCCAAAGCATTCGCCTTTCCATTTGTAATTTTTAAACAAACAACTTGCCAATTTGTTGGACTCTCTCATTGCAAATTGTTTACTAGATGTGTTTGCAGTGATCCGGCCTCTGTCGTTGTAAGAGACTGTTACCTGGAGAAGATGCACTGCGCATGAGTAACTGGTCTCTTTTGAAGAAAGTACCATGATTTCCCCCCCAGTCTCCCCCTTTCTATTCGCAGGCTATTTTCAGGCCTAGTCAAGCCTTTACTTAGGCTTTGTGTTCTAATGCCAAAGTAAGATTTGTTTATTGAAACCCAGGTATTATTATTATATGGATGGACTATCCAAGGAGATAGTAGAGACAGATTGTGTCACCAAAATTTACAAGGGAACTAGATAACTATTTGATAAAGAATTCAATTGAGGGAGGAATGTGAGAGACAGAACAATGTAGGATTATGTATTATTACCTTTGATGATTGCCAGATGGACAACAGTGTTTTTCCTCATCCTGTACTTGCCTATATTCCTATTTTTAGGAGTTCTGCCTTGGCCTTTCTTTTTCTGAAAGTTTCCTGCACAGCAGAAGCTACTGTGCCAATCAAAGGATGAATTCTGTTCTTGGCAAATGTCAAGCTATTACCTGTTTACTTCTAGTTTTCACTGACTCAGATTGTTTAGTTGAAAATAAAGAAGTGAATTGACCATGAGATGGATTGTACTTTCATAGTTTAGGTGGGTTACATTTTCAAAACAAAATAGACATAGTATCTCATACATTACATACTAACACAGAATAATGTGGTGCAGAGATCTCTACAATTGATAAGAAAGCAGTTGTTATGCATTGAATGCTAGATAGGGACCAAACGTATGCTTTTTAACTAGTTTGCAGCTTAAAACAATAATAACCCTTCCTTCAGATGAGATGTTAAACTGAGGCCCAGTCTGCTTGTTCAGGTGGATGTCAAAGATCTCATAGGACTGTTCGAAAAGAGATTAGAGTTTCTCCCAGTGTCCTGGCCAACAATCCCCCAAAATAAAATTGATCACTCAGTCCATGGCTATTTGTGGCTATATTGCTGTGCATATATTGGCTGCTGTGTTTGCTCACAAAATACACAAGTCACCCCAATTTACAGTATATCTTGTGAAGAGCTTTGAGATGTCTCAACAAAGTGATAAGGTGCTATATCAAATGCAAGGATTATTACGATTATAATACAATAATAATCTGTACAGATCCAAACACTGAACAGGTAGATGTGGTTTTCTTTTTTTCCATCAAAATCCCAATGGTGAAGGATTGTGGGGTGGCCGGTGCATCATCATTCCTGGCAGGAACAAACACTTCATGGATTACACCATTTGTGAAACAAATAGACATATTTGCAAGTGAAAATATAAGAAAGTTACAGTGACAATTAAAAGAGGGGAGATTGGCTGCACATGGAGGAATCTCACTGTAACCAAACCCTAGTGAGTGGGTGGGGGGGTACCCTGTGGTTATGTATGTGAGGGAACCACCCATATTCTCCATTACTTAAGGAAGGAATCGGATGTTAAGTGACAAATTTAAAAGGACATTTCTCTCTCTGACTTGATTATCCTTATTACCTCTAGAGGCATGTGAGCCACGCTGACAACACTGCTTGGTGCCACATGATCAGATGGCATTGTAAAGCAGTGTGGGAAAGGAGGTCAATAAATGGCCACAACAAGGATTTGAGGCATTCCCCTACAGGGACACACTGAAGTGTTTTGTGTTCAATACTTAATGTTGCTCTCCATCATAGCCCATGAGAGTTCACAGTACCACTGAAGCCTCTCTATTTGTCAGGCACAAAGGGATTTCAGCTGGAGAGTTGCACTATTGTGCAGTGATTGTGATACATGATTTTGAGTTGACCTTCCCTTGGCCTATTGATGATGCATATTTGAATCAAGTGCTTTATGCTTACTGACTCACAATAAATGTGAAATCAAATAGATGGTAGATCCAACCTTAAAAAAAAGCGCAAAAGACTCCAATGTCAACAGTGGGAATTGAAAGCTTCCAGGGTTAAACAGAAGCATGCCTTACCATTCCTTTGATGAGCACACTTAAACTGCTCCTCGTTTTCTCTCTGTCTGTGTCAGCCTGGCTCATCAGGGAGCACTCTTGCTTTTAAGACAGAAAATTGTGGGTTCCAGCCTCACTTTAGTCCATTGAGCTCTTAATCTAGGCTGATACTCCCAATGCAATATTGCATTGGCAGAGGTACCACATTTCAGATAAAATATTAGACCAAGATCCTGTCTGCCTGTTCAGCAACACTCTGATATGCCAATGTGAAGGGTGCTATATAAATCAAGTTGTTGTATGTTAAAGATCCAATGATAATATTTGAAAAGAGAAGTGAGTTTCACCTAGTGTCCTGCCAACAATCTCCCAAGTAACATTGATCATTCACTTCATCGCTGATTGTAGGGTACTGCTGCGCAATAATTGGCTGCCTTCAAAATAATATAATAATTCTTGCAATTGATATAGTGATTTTCACGTCTCCTAGATATCTCAAAGCGCTTCACAGAATATACTGTAAAGTGAATTGACTGTATATAAATACAATCATTACACCTTACATAAAGATCTGTGAAAGATTTTGACATTCCTAGGTGCTATATATCAAATGCAAGGATTGCTATTATAATTTTATTTAAAACGTTGCTTTCAATATTGCTTGTAAAAAGTTTATATTGTAGTGTTTGGGTTCAAGTCGTAACATGACTACATTAATTATTTTTCACTTCACTTTACTGTTGAGTCTCAATTAAGCCTGCAGGGTTGCCATGTTAACATTGATAATGTTGAGTGAGGTGAATTCACTGAGAAATGGTGCTTTTGGGTTTTGGGTTAAAGCTGAAATTTTTTGAGTGTTTAACAAAAAAATCTGGCGTGAATTACACCACTCTGGGTACGATAACAAATTGGGAAACTGAGAGGTAAGACCATAAGCAAGGAGCAGTCAACCCCCTTTAACCCCCCACCCACCAAAAAAAAATTGGTCATTCACTTCATGGCTGTATGTACGACATTGCTGTGTGCAATAAGAACATAATAATAATCCTTGCATTTGGTATAGCGCTTTTCACGTCGGGAGGACGTCCCAAAGCGCTTCACAGAACACACTGTAAAGTGAATTGACTGTATATTTGTGGGCGAATGCGGCAGCCAATTGCGCACAGCAATGTCCCACAAACAGCCGTGGATTGAAAATGACCAATTTATTGACCAATTTATTATTGTTTTGGTTTTGGAGGGATTATTATCAGACGTGTGGAGTAAGGAAACTTGCCCAAGGTTTCGCCCTGCCTGGAATTGAACTCAGGTCTCTCGCTTGCAAAGCGAGTGCTCTAACCACTGAGTTACAGGACTCCACTGAGACTCCAAACATAAGAATTGCTAGATGAAAAAAGATCAAGATCCATCCAGTTCACCTTCCAACAACCTGGAAGTCGTACGCTCATGTCATGTCCCAACTATATACTGTATCCCACAATATTATTTCCTAAAGGAAATCTATCTAATTTGCTTTTGAAAGAATCAACACTTTTTGATTCCACCGTTCTCTTTCTATTGTTCCAGACAAGACAAAACAGCTTATCATGGTCTACATTATCCAGGCCCTTTTGAATCTTAAAAAACTATCATATCACCTCTCAACCTTCTCTTTTCCAGCGTGAACATGTCCAGTTTACTTAATTGCTCCTCATAGTCCAGTCCCTCCATCCCATCAATCACTCTGGTTGCCCTTGACTGTATTCTCTCAATCGCTGCAGTATCCTTTTTGTACTGTGATGACCAGAACTGAACACAGTATTCCAAGTACAGTGACACCAATGATTTATAAAGTGTCAGAATTACCCCACTATTTTGCCTACTACATTGTCCACAGATACAGTCACTGTTATTATTCCACTACAGACCATATGCAAAACAATTACACTGTGAAATATAATCGATTAAAACATGCAGAATATTCTTCCATCCTTGAATCTCCCCTCCAATTTAAACTTGGCTTCCTTCTCTATATAGTCAAATTCCTCAAATTCCCAGTTCCAGTATTAATCCCTTTGTCCTGTGGAACATTTGTTCATCTCTGTATGAACGTATCCTGATTTCCTCTAATATTGTGGCCAAGCTGATATTTACACATTTTAAGGCGATACATCAATGTGTCTTCGGTTATTTTTGGGGGACATCTGTCCATTATCATTACTATGTGAGAAAAATGCCTTCTAATCTCCAGAGATTACATACAATTTGCTCTAAAAATACAGTTATTACACTTTACATGACGCACTCCCAGTGTGAAAGGTAACGTATAAAAATCCAAGGCTTTCAGCTATTCCGCTCTTGCTTTCTGGAACTCCATTCCAAAGTCCCTCCCACTCACTTACTCCCTCCCTCACCTCTTTCAGGGTCTGTCTCAAGAATTACCTCGATGACTATGCTTTCAGTCATCTTTCCCTCTCCCTTCAGCTTCCACCCGAGCTCGGATGCCAGTGTTTTGGAATGCCCTCCTAATGTGAAAGGTCCCATATAAGTGTAAATTGTATAATTATTATTATTAGAGACTAAAATATAATTAAGTACACTGATGGATCAAATTTAGAAAATACATGAGTATGTAACAGTTTATTTTGAAATGCCTCATTCACCTATGCTGAAAACTAATGTAAAAGCAGCAAAAAAGGTATTCTGTATCCTGCAGCTACTTGGAATACATCTTTTGTATACTGTTGACATATGATTTCCAAGCAGAATCTCAAATAGATACTAATCAAGAAAGAAAAAAGCAAAGATTTCAGTAGCAAAGCATCATCTGACAAATGTATGAATCCATTATTATTATTATCCTTGCATTTGATATAGTGCTTTTCACGTCTTCTAGACTTCTCAAAACGCTTCACAGAATATACTATAAAGTTAATTGACTGTATATTTGTGGGCGAAACGTGGCAGCCAATTACAAACACTAGTAAGTGATATCCCAACTTCAGTGTGAGATTTGATTCAAACAGTCCTTGAATCTCAGGATTGCAAATGTCTCGTTCAGCTGTTACAAAGTGATCATAAAAATAACTGAAACAAGAAGTTTGCTGACATACATGCAGTGGAGCTGCCAACTATTCATCAGAGAGTAATATTTTTCCATTGTACATCAATGCACTAGCTGAATTATTGCTTGTGTTAACAGAATAAACAGCAAATCTAAGAGAACAGAAATGACGAAGTACAACACAAACATTGCCTCACCAGCACATTTTTAAGCAACCAATTGGAACTGAAAGCTAAACCCACAGTGACTCAGATTCGAGCAGTCGGAATCAACCCACTGGTTGTCCATTTGAACATGTTGAATTTGGTTGTGTAAGTGCCCAAGGAATTGCCAATATTCATGCACAGAGAGGTAAATACCTCTAAAGCATGAGCTCATAAGTAAGGCTGCTGTTCCTATGGACAGTAAGGCCAAAAAAGGACAAGGTTAATACAATGATCACAGCATTGGACATGCTTGTTATTTATGTAGAAACTTTAAACTCAACAACACTATGTGTAGCATTATCCTTGGATAAGGTGATAACTAATCACAATTTCAAATATAATCTATACAAAATATTAAATAAAATCCAGGAAAGGACTATTATTTAAAGGGTAAGAAAA